GACCCAAGGACACTTTTCCTGGTCCCCAAAGCGCCAAGCCTTCAGAGTTTCGAGCCTGGCTATCATCGATTTGGCACGCCTGACAGACAGGCGCAAAGGGGTTCCATCGACTTGTGAAACCTCAGCGCTATCGAGAAGGACCGTGAGGGGTAGTTGGCAGGACAAGGCCAGCCACATATCTCTCAATTCATTCACTTGTGACATGTTTCGAGCCACCACCAAGTTGCCCGGTATGTCTTTGTTTTCCCCCAAGGCTTTAAGGACCACATTAGGAGAAACAACTTTTGGGGCGATAGTCCATTCACCGACAGCAAACCCAGTGACGTGAGTGATGGTCTGTTTTGTTTCAGCCATCGAGGAATCACTGAGCCCAACTTTTCGTCTTTTAGAGTCCTAATTATAAAAACTCTGCATGTTGTCAGCTTTTCGTCTTGAGTCTGTTTTGACTTCCTGGTGAGCAGACCATGAATGAGGTGTTTGCCCTCTCTGCCATTGTCTCAACAGGCTAGTCAATTCCTGAGCCACTGTCGCATCCGAGGCCTTTTTCTGATTGCATCCATCCACTAAATGTTTGAGTTGCATGATCAAAGAACCTTCAGCATCCGCAGGTGCAGACATTGTTTTGGGTTTTTTCGGCGGTCCAGAATCAACAGGTTGGACATGTTCAGCCTGCCACTGTTCTAAAAAACCTGAAAGAGCAGCTGCCAAGCCAGCTTCAGTCTGCGGTCTCTTTTTTCTGCTAGTTCCCCCGGAGAGGAGTGCCGACCAGTCTGTCAAATTGACCGCTCTCGTTGGTTCATCTTGAGTGGTTTCCTTGACAAAATGTTTTCCATCCCTGGATCGCAAAAAGAGATCCCTTCATGTGTGTCATGACATGGCAGCAAGACAGCGAGACCACACTTTCTAGGGTTCCACCAGCAATAACGACCCAAAGTGTTTTTCGAGAATCTTTTACCATGTTTCATCCTGACGCCCTGCACAAATCGTGATCCAAAAATGCACCTCACTGATCTATTCGTTTTTGAAGTCCACAGTTTCACGTTTCGTTTGAGTTTCGACAACGGCACGTGTTTGTTTCGTTTCTTGCGTTTCTTAAGCCATGTACCAAACAAGAAATAAAACATCACACGTTTCACTCCATTGGTTCGGAAGAGATATGCGACATGTTTGAATCGTTTTTTCAAGCTCCAAAACATGAATCCAACCTCATACCAACTTGAGAGCAGTATCATCCATCCCCAGTGTTCAACCCACGGGACACTGAAACTGCCCAGTTTCACCAGCGCCGTAGTGCACGCCAGAGACACACCATTGTGCCAATGCATGCCTTTCCCGCTGTGTGGCTGCGAAAGCAGCGAGGAGTTTGCATACCAGTCAGCAGCCGCAGTGGTAGTCAGCTGCGCCAGATCGTTCTCTCGCGCATGGGTTGTTGTTGCAACATGCCATTGAACCGCAACGCAAGGTCTATGGTACACAGGGGGCCATGTTGATCCATTTTGGTCAACCGGCCATAGGTAAACGGCAGCGGAAGATAAACATGACGGGCCACCTTTGAAGAGCTCGGCGTTGACCGTACGGTGGTTAACCCAAAAAACCACCCAAAACACCAACCACTCAACGAACCTAGGTGCCCATCTCACTGTGCTTTTCTTTTTGTCTTTTCGTTTTTTGTCATTTTTGTCAGCCATCTCAGGGCTGCTTTTCCTGCAAGTCATTTCTTTTTTGATTTTTTCTCTTTTGTCAAATTCTTTGAATTCGTCACTCATTTTTGTTTGGGTCTTGATCATCTTTTTTGTGTATTCAAACAGTGTGGTGAGTACCACACGAAATTGCTGTGCTGCTCTGCGCGAGTTGCTAGACCAACTCGCCCATGACTGCCACGTGGAGGCGCAGCACCAGCCACTAAGTACCTCAAACAACCTGGCAGGTGGAAATTCAGATCCGCAGCTCGAGTGTTTTTTGATATTCACATTCTCTCACATGCGTGGCGTTTGCAAACGTTTTTGCAAGCCTACACGTTTTTTTTTGAGGGCGGCACCCCGTGGGGGAGTGAATTTTCATTAAAAATGATGAAAAAACACTGTAAATACCGATGTTTCATGCATTTGGAGGGTCTAAAACCCTAGTAAAACACACTTTTTTCATCATGATCTTGACATGAGATATACAAAAACATTGGCAGGCACAAAAAAAAAACAAAAAACACAAAACCACTAGATGCACCAAACATCGACGGGCACCAAAAAAACAAAAAAAACAAAAATTCCAGCAACTACTCAGTGCAGGTTTGGTGCATCTAGTGGTTTGTTTTTGGTTTTTTTTTTGGTGCCTGTGCAGGTTTGGTGACTCTCACTTCACAAAACATTGACAGGCACCAAAAAAAACAAACAAAACAAACCACTAGATGCACCAAACATCGACAGGCACCGAAAAAAAAATATCCCAGCAACTACTCAGAAGTGGACCCATAGTTCCTGGAAATTTTAGTTTTTTTTTGTTTTTGTTGGTGCCTGTGCAGGTTTGGTGCATCTAGTGGTTTGTTTTTTTGGGTGTTTTTGGTGCCTGTGCAGATTTGGTACATCTATTGGTTTGTTTGTTTTTTTGATGCCTGTGCAGGTTTTGGTGATTCTAGATTGTGTATGTTTGGATCTTGGCCATATTTTAAACTTATGTTTCAAAGAAGCAAACATACAGTTATCTTTGAATAGCTATGCCACCACACAGGTTGCCTGACCTTAATATTCAACAGCTTGACACACGTCTTTGTCTCTTTGGCTTTCTCTCTCTCTCTCTCTCTCTGTCTCTGTCTAACTATTGAAATGAGACTGCTGACAAGACTCTGCAAGATAACAATGATAAACGAGATATGTACCTACTTCTTGGGTTGTAACATTCCCACCATCCTTCTTATCCAGAGTGTTAGGTGTGCTTGTGTTATATCCACCTAATATCCACCTATATAATGTATGCCCTTCCCACCATACTTCTTATGTAGCGCAAATGCTTCTATATACAATATATGTTAAGATGATATCAATCTAACAAGTTCATGAAGAAACAACTATATCATATCAATTGCTTTTAACAATACAATTTCTCCATCACCTCCATCACACTAGTCACCTATTGCTACTGTATATTCTGTTCCAAGATGTGCAGCTACCCATTCTTATGGCATGTTGTGCAGCAGATGTTTTCTGTTATGTGCTGATTGTTTGTAGTTCTTTGCAAGCCTCGCAGGAAAAATTGAATCCTGCCACAAGAGTCTGTAAATGCCAGTGATTTATGACAGCATATGAGAGCCTTTGGAGGTGAACTCTATTTTTTGTTCTAAAATAGAAGCCCACTTTGGTCACAAAACACTGTAAATAAATACCAGTATTTTTGACCATTTTTAGGGCAACAATCACTCCCCCATGAGGGGCCGTTCTGTTTTTTTTTCACTCCTGCCACAACGTTTTTGATCGTTTTTTGTCTTTACTCCTACATTTCGCAGGTCGAAACGCATCTTTCCTCCTTCAAAAAGCGATTCAATTTTGAGGCGGTGTGTTGTAAAACTGTGGTGCTGTGCCGATTTTTGGGGCACTATGTTTCAGGGTTTGCGTCTCCAAGAGCGTGTAGGAACTTATGTGACAATTTCAACATCAAGAATTGATGGAATCTGTTCAGAGAAATCGAACTTTCAGAGCAAAGCATCAAGAGCGCTTCAGAAATTCTTTCAGGAAGTGAAAAGCGTAGCCTCAAGAGCGTGTAGAAACTTACACGAAAAGTTGAGAGCATAGCATCAAGACTTTTTGGAAAATGGTCAGAGAAATAGAAAGCTAAGGGCGTAGCATCAAGAGCGTGTAAGAACTTACACGAATAAGTTGAGAGCGTAGCATCAAGATTTTGTAGGAAATGCTCAGAGAAAATGAAGAGCGTAGCATCAAGAGCGTGGACCAAGAGCGTTTATAAACAATATGAGAATGTTCAATGTTCTTTAAGTTCTTTCAGAAAGTGAAGACAGCACTAGCAAGAGTATCTTGGAACGTACATGAACAAGTTTAGAGTCTAGCATCAAGCGCGTGTGGAGAGTGCTAAGGAGAAGAATAGAAGAAATTAAGCGCGTTACATCAAGAGCGTCTTAAAGACATTGGAGGCGACAAAACGTTATCACGGACCCCCCCAAGCCCCCCCCGGAGACAACACCACCAAAAAGCAAAACGCTGGTAAGATTTCCCACTCGCTGGCCCAACTAGAAGGCATAAGATCCCTACCGTTTTGGCAGGGGGGGGCCTCCCCAAAATGTAACTTACATTTTTGAATCCCATAGTATCAGGGTGAAAAATTTTAACAGGGGCTAACTTGTTACACAAAATGTCACGGACTTACAATTAACCCCCCCTTAAAACAGCCCGAAAAATGTAAGTTACATATTGTAAGGTCCCCTCCCGAAAACCTAGGTTAAGGGGGTGGGGATGGCATAAGCAAGTCAAAGAAGGGACAGCTGGCAAGACATGTCCTGAAGTAAGCTGAAAGAAGAGGGAACCCGCAACACTGGTGAAAACGTGATGGGTGGGGCTAGCGCAGAAAACAGAACAAAACAAAACAAAACAAAACAAGGAAAGTCATTCACTCAATCCTTCACGGATTTTGCCGCTCGATTAGGCACTCCCAGCCGTCAGCTCAGCCGTGCAATTGCTCAGCCATTCACGCGTTCAGATGCTCATGTCCGCAGGCAACATTTCCTGCAATTTGGCTCATTGTTTCCCACACCTTGTCACTATGTTCAAAACGTTTGCCCCCGCGTGCTCTATGGGGACTCCCGGAATCTCACGGAAATGACAATCCAAGAGTTTTATCACCTGATCAAATCCGAGCAACAAAACAGCTTGCAACACCATTCTTGGCTCCGTTGGGGTGATAACGTTGTGGAATCCTAATGGGTCGCTTTCAATGATGCCACTATTAAGCCTCTTCATGCCTCTTCACACAAGCCGCGCGAAGGTGAGCCAAGGCTCGTGATGTAACACACCCATATCACGCTGAAAAATTGGCTCACCTTCTCCAAGACTGGGCGCGTCTGCGCTGGCCAGCTGCCTTGGTCTGTATTCTGCGAGAAGAACTGCTGAGTAAACATAAACAGGTGCCCATACAGATTCACCCCAGCAACATGTGGCAACCAAACAAAGGAATGCCTCTGACAGCCTGACAGCACAAGTATTTATTTATATATATAAATACACGATCATTTACAGCACACGCCAAACGACACTTGGTCGATAGTCGGAACAGAATAACATTTGTGAAGCTGAACATCACGTGTTTCAAATTCGGCCCTCTCGCAAACAAACAGAGTGCATAGTCCGCGTTTCGCTGTTCATCATCCAAGGGACCTGCGAAAGTTATCTCATAGAAACTGTACCTCAGAACAGGATGAGTTAGAGTTAGAAGGCTTCCAAAGGAGGACGAAACCAATGTTGCGCCCGCATGGGTTGGCATGATGGCTTCTGCGAGAATTGAACACGGAACATCGCGACCATTTTGGGCACAACGTGTTGTACCTACTCAAGCTGACATCGACATCGGTTTATTGAAGCTGGCATCACCGACCAGTTTCCAAAAACCAAGTCGGCATTGCTCCCCTTTCAAGGAAAACACCAGCATGACATCCACAAAAACCTGCATGCATTTGGAACGGTTCCCTTGCATTGAATTATTTACCGTGGCAAACATGTATATTACATGATAAGAAGTTAAAAAATCAAATATGTAAATTGCACATAGCTTGGGCAACAAGGAAGGAAAATTGGGTCGGCTCTGCAGTGGGACAGTGCGTATTAACAGATACAGAGGTTAATTGAAACTCTTGAGAAACCGCATGCGGGGTAACACGTTGAGATTGATGCGGAATCCACATTCTGACGCCGCATTCCTGTCTCGCACTAGCTCGCACTTCCTGACGCATCCCCACCCTGAAGCCACATTCGCCCTCACGCCACAGTCTGACGCAACGCGCATATCCTGACACCATACATTCCTTGGCGTTTCCTCTCGAGCTTCGAACTTGCCTAGTCGCCTGGGCCTACATTGTTTCACTTCCTGTCGCGTGAACATATAACAATATGATCCTGGTGCAGGGTCAGAGCCCATGGGCTCCGACGGGCCTTTGCTTCAGATTATCTTTTTGGCGCCCCCTGGCATGATCAGAAGGCCTGTGTGTGTGTGTGTCCATGTGCCTCAGGTAGCTGCTCCGCATTCCTTCCGGACCCCCCAACACAAACGAGCCCATTTTTTTACTACATCTCAGATACACACGAGCACAGAAACCACTTTTCAAATGAGAAACCAATTATCACCCATATTCTGACTAGTGCAGCTGCTGGGCTGTCAGCGAATTAAATGCCTTCCTCAGAACATGTTATAATTTAAATATCCCAAGGCAAAGGGAGCTCTCCTTGATTGCGGCTTTTTGCTCGTATTGCTGACAGAGAACAAGTATAATCATGTATAATCATTTTGTTACTTTATAGTACTTTCTTCAAGTGATCCCGACCATGTTCTGACATATGTTCCGACATTCTTTCTAACAACTTAGCTGGCACATATTTGGACCTATATTCTGACAGGCATGAAAATTCTGTCCTTCTTTCTGGCAATTTATACGGCAGTCTCTCTGGCAAATTCCTCTGACATATATCCCCGCATTACTGCTGACATGTTACCTGGCATTCTATCTAACATATATTCTGGCATTGTAACTGACACATATCCTTACCTATTGTATCTGGCATATCTTCTGAAATGTTATCTGACCAGATATCCGGTATGTATTGTCACATGTTATCTGAGATATATTCTGACACTTTATCTTTTTAAAAGTGTCATGCTGCCCACGAACCCAATTGCAATCACCTATAGAGCACTTTTGTGACACAAGTTATTTGAACAGTCTACATTTTTCCCCTGTTACCCGACCAGTGCACTGTAGACTGTGGAATGCGGAAGAGGGTGGAGTGCGAAGTAATGAGTGTGGTGTAGAGTGTATAGTGTGGAGTGTGGAGTGTAAAGTGTCAAGTGTAGTGTGGGGAGTGTGGAGTGTGGAGTGCGCAGTGTGAAGTGTAAAGGGTAAAATGTCAAGTTTGGAGTGTGGAATGCAGTGTAGAATGTGGAGTGTAAAGTGTGGAGTGTAAAGTGTAAAGTGTGGAGTATAGAGTGTAGAGTGTAAAGTGTAGAGTATAAACTGTAGAGTGTAAAGTATAGAGTGTAAACTGTAGAGTGTAAAGTGTAGAGTGTGCAGTGTAAGGTAAGGAGTTTGGTGTGTGGAGTGTAAAGTGTGGAGTGTTGAGTGTGGAGTGTAGAGTGTGGAGTGTGGAGTGTAAAGTGTGGAGTGTGGAGTGTAGAGTGTGGAGTGTAGAGCGTGGAGTGTGGAGAGTAAAGTGTAGAGTGTGGAAGTGTGGGGTGTACAGTGTAAAGTGTGGAGTGTAAAGTGTGGAGTGTAAAGCGTGGAGTGTAAAAATGTGTAAAGTGTAAAGTGTGGAGTGCGCAGTGTGAAGTGTAAAGGGTAAAATGTCAAGTTTGGAGTGTGACATGTAAAGTGTAGAGTGTGGAGTGTAAAGTGTGGAGTGTGGAGTGTAAAGTGTAAAGTGTGGAGTGTGGAGTATGTAGAGTGTAAATTGAAGAGTATAAACTGTAGAGTGTAAAGTGTAGAGTGTAAACGGTAGAGTGTAAAGTGTAGAGTGTGCAGTGTAAAGTACGGAGTTTAGTGTGTGGAGTGTAAAGTGTGGAGTGTTGAGTGTGGAGTGTAGAGTGTAGAGTGTGGAGTGTAGAGTGTAAACTGTAGAGCGTAAAGCGTAGAGTGTAAAGTGTAGAGTGTGGAGTGTAAAGTGTCGAGTGTGGAGTGTGGAGTGCAAAGTGTAGAGTGCAAAGTGTAGAGTGTAAAGTGCAGAGTGTGGAGTGCAAAGTGTGGAGTGGAGAGTGTGGAGTGTGGAGTGCAAAGTGTAGTGTACAGTGTAGAGTGTGGAGTGTAAAGTGTCGAGTGTGGACTGCAAAGTGTAGAGTGTAAAGTGTGGAGCGTAAAGTGTGGAGTGTAAAGTGTGGAGTGTAGAGTGTAAAGTGTGGAATGTAAAGTGTGGAATGTAAAGTGTGGAGTGTGAAGTGTAAAGGGTGGAGTGTGGAGTGTGGAGTGTAGAGCATGCAATACGACACGTCTAAAATGCCGCGCCTGCCACACAAAATGACGACAGAGATCTCCAAAATGTGAAGGCTGCCACGACAACTGCAACCCATCTTGTGCAAACGACGCCAAAGTATTGCGCCTGCCACACAAAACGACTCTCGACACGTTGTTAAACAGGTTGGAACGTCACAAAGTGCCGCGCCTGCCATGCAAAACGGCATGACAACCTGCTTTGACACCTTCGAAAAGGAAAGGATTTGCAGCTTCCCCTATAGACACGGCGAGGCCACAGGAAAACCAGAGACTCGAGACGAGACACGTGGCAGCATCAAACCGAGCATTTCGTGCGAGACTTCCCCCAATTTTCACACTTTGTAGCTTCAAAATAGATGTTTTCCTACGAGTTGCTACCTCAAAATCAATGTTTCGTGCGAGGCTTCTGTCAATTTTCATCACATCTCACAAAATCACGGAAATTGCACTTTGTCGCCACTTGATGCAGCCCTGCCAATGCGATTCGCAAAAAACACGCAACACGACACGCCTAAAGTGCTGCGCCTGCCACGCAAAATGACGATGGACACGTCCAAAGTGCTGCGCCTGCAACGAAAGCTGCAAAACATCTTCTGAAAACGTTGCAAAAGTATTGCACCTGCCACACAAAACGATTTTCGACACGTTACCAAACACTTCTGAATGTCACCAAGTGCCACGCCTGCCATGCGAAACGAAGCAACGCCACATGTGAAACCTCCAAAAGTGACCCCTTTGGCAGGACTTACCATAGGCACGATAGGTTACCATATAGAATGCCGGGAATTATGTCAGATAGAATAAGCACAAGAGAAGATTTGTCAGATAAAATGCCGCCTTAATTAAACGCTGCAAAGAATGTCAGAATATATGACAGATAGAATCTCAGATATGCAGATAGAATGCCAGATAAAGATAAATTGCAGATGATGTGCCGGAACAAATTTCAGAATATATGTCAGGTATCCCTGTTGGAATTCGGACCAAACCTGGGTGTCTGATTCTATAGGGACTAAAACGAAAACCCAGGACTAAGGGGGGGGAATTTTCCCTATAGAATAGAGACCCTACCAAGCCAACAGCCCCCTGCCGCTCCTATAAAATGAAAAGGGTGTGAAATAGTTTTAGGATTTTTTTTTTGAGCAGGTTTGGGATTTTTTTTTGGATTTCTTGGCTGGTACCATTTGCCTAGTGTTTGCGACGGTTTGGAACTTGAATTTGTCATTTTGCATGGTATTTGCCACATTTGGGGGGGATTGAGGGAGGGCGCTAGCTGTCTATCCAGCTAGCTAGCTATCTTCTATCTAGCAAGCTAGCTATCTATATGTCTAGCAAGCTATCTATCTATCTAGCTATCTATCTACCTATCTAGCTAGCTATCTTGCTAGCTATCTATCTACCTATCTAGCTATCTAGCTAACTATCTATCTAGCTATCTAGCTTTCTATCTATCTAGCTATCTATCTATCTAGCCATCCAGCTGTCTATCCAGCTATCTAGCTGTCGAGCTATCTAGCTAACTATCTATCTAGCTATCTAGCTTCCTATCTATCTAGCTATCTATCTAGCCATCCAGCTGTCTATCCAGCTATCTAGCTATCTATCTAGCTATCTATCTATCTAGCTAACTATCTACCTATCTATTTAGCTATCTATCTATCTATCTATCTAGCTATCTATCTAGCTACCTCTTTATCTATCTAGCTAGCTATCTATCTATCTAGCTATCTATCTAGCCATCTATCTATCTAGCTATCTATCTAGCCATCTATCTATCGAGGTATCTAGCTATCTATCTCTCTAGCTATCTATCTATCTAGCTGGCTATCTATCTATCTAGCTATCTATCTACCAAGCTATCTATCTATCCAGCTATCTATCTATCTATCTATCTATCACATGTAATCCTGTCAGCTTTCCAGAGAAGGTTAGTTCGCAAAAACCAACTAATGTAACTTGGGTTTAAGTTTAAATAAAAAAAAGCGGGAGGGGGGATTGGGGGGAGGGCGCAGCGCCTCCCCCCAAAGCAGAATGCAAGCACCTCTTCTCACATGTTACGTTGCTAGTTTTCAAGAGAAGGTTGGTCATGTGATACTCAGGGATGTAAATACTGTGCAAAATGCATCTTACATGAAAATCAAGTATTTAAAGCAGGCAAAGCAAAAAAAAAGCAGAGAAGCAAAAAAGCAGAGAAGCAAAGAAACAGGAAACGCACAAAAGCAAAACAGGAGAAAGGCAAAGAAGCAGGAAAAGCAGAAAAGCAGAGAAGCAGGAAAAGCAGGAAAAGCAGAGAAGCAAAGAAACAGGAAAAACAGAAAAGCAAAAAAGCAGAAAACCAGAGAAGCAGGAGAAGCAGAAAAGTAAACAAGCAGAAAAGGCGAGAAGCAGGAGAAGCAGAAAAGCAAAAAAGCAGAAAAGCAGAGAAGCAGGAAAAGCAGGAAAAGCAGGAGAAGCAGGAAAGCAGAGAAGCAGGAGAAGCAGGAAAAGCAGAGAAGCAGGAATCCAAAAATAATTCCTAAACCTGATCAAAAAAAAAACTAAAACAGTTAGCCCTCCAAATGAAAACCCAGCCTCATACTGGCCACTACTTCTAACAAATAATCGACTATAAAATGAAAAACTGAGTGCAAGTGATTAGGAAAAAGACCCCCTATAGAATAGAAACCGCTATTTCCAAGGCCCAAAATGTGGTTCACGTTTGGGCTGGCACCTTTCAAGCAAAAAAATATTGGGGCCGATTTTTTAGAAGAGTGGTTGGATTTTCATTTTAAAATAAAACGCTGAGTCCCAGTGATCAGGAAAAGACCCCCTACTGAATAGAAAATGCTTTTTCCAAGGCCCAAAATGTGGTTTCACATTTGGATCTGGGCTGGCACCTTTCAAGCAAAAAAATCCTTGGAAACAATTTTTTAGAAGATTGGTTGGATCTCCATTTTAAAGGAGCAGCCCTGCACAAAACTGACTGGGTAACAGTGTTGATTAATTATACTAATTATTCGTTTACAATATGTTTCAATATTTTACAGATTTTTACAGTATCATACAGTATTTACAATATTATTGCCCACTGACACCCCCCCTCCCATCCCCTCCCACTCCTATAAAATGAAAACCCAGCCTCATACTGGCCACTGCTTCTAACAAATAATCCACTATAAAATGAAAAACTGAGTCCAAGTGAGGAAAAGACCCTATATATAGAATAGAAACCGCTATTTCCAAGGCCCAAAATGTGGTTTCACATCTGGATCCGGGCTGGCACCTTTCAAGCAAAAAATCCTTGGAAACAATTTTTTAGAAGAATGGTTGGATCTCCATTTTAAAGGAGCAGCCCTGCACAAAACTGACTGGGTAACAGTGTTGATTAACTATACTAATTATTCGTTTACAATATGTTTCAATATTTTACAAATTTTTACAGTATCATACAATATTTGCAATATCATTGCCCACTGACACACCCCCCATCCCCTCCCACTCCTATAAAATGAAAACCCAGCCTCATACTGGCCACCGCTTCTAACAAATAATCCACTATAAAATGAAAAACTGAGTACAAGTGATTAGGAAAAAGACCCCCTATAGAATAGAAAGCGCTATTTCCAAGGCCCAAAATGTGGTTCACGTTTGGGCTGGCACCTTTCAAGCAAAAAAAATATTGGGGCCCAATATTCGTTTACAGTACGTTTCATTTTTTTACAGTAACATACAGTATTTACAATATCATTGCCCACTGGCACCCCTCCTCCCATCCCCTCCCACTCCTATAAAATGAAAACCCAGCCTCATACTGGCCACCGCTTCTAACAAATAATCCACTATAAAATGAAAAACTGAGTCCAAGTGATTAGGAAAAAGACCCCCTATAGAATAGAAAGCGCTATTTCCAAGGCCCAAAATGTGGTTCACGTTTGGGCTGACACCTTTCAAGCAAAAAAAACTTGGGGCCGATTTTTTAGAAGAGTGGTTGGATTTTCATTAAAAAATAAAACGCTGAGTCCCAGTGATCAGGAAAAGACCCCCTACTGAATAGAAAATGCTTTTTCCAAGGCCCAAAAAGTGGTTTCACATTTGGATCTGGGCTGGCACCTTTCAAGCAAAATAATCCTTGGGAACCATCTTTTAGAAGAATGGTTAGATCTCCATTTTAAAGGAGCAGCCCTGCACAAAACTGACTGGGTAACAGTGTTGATTAATTATACTAATTTTTCGTTTACAGTATGTTTCAATATTTTACAGTATCATACAGTATTTACAATATTATTGCCCACTGACACCTCCCCTCCCATCCCCTCCCACTCCTATAAAATGAAAACCCAGCCTCATACTGGCCACTGCTTCTAACAAATAATCCACTATAAAATGAAAAACTGAGGCCAAGTGATTAGGAAAAAGGCACCCTATAGAATAGAACCCACTATTTCCAAGGCCCAAAATGTGGTTTCACATTTGGATCTGGGCTGGCACCTTTCAAGCAAAAAAAATATTGGGGACCATTATTCATTTACAGTATGTTTCAATATTTTACGGTATGATACAATATTTGCAAAATCATTGCCCACTGACACCCCCCCCATCCCCTCCCACTCCTATAAAATGAAAACCCAGCCTCATACTGGCCACCGCTTCTAACAAATAATCCACTATAAAATGAAAAACTGAGTCCAAGTGATTAGGAAAAAGACCCCCTATAGAATAGAAAGCGCTATTTCCAAGGCCCAAAATGTGGTTCACGTTTGGGCTGACACCTTTCAAGCAAAAAACATCTTGGGGCCCATGTTTAAGAAGAATGGTTGGATTTTCATTTTAAAATAAAACGCTGAGTCTCAGTGATCAGGAAAAGACCCCCTACTGAATAAAAAATGCTTTTTCCAAGGCCCAAAAAGTGGTTTCACATTTGGATCTGGGCTGGCATCTTTCAAGCAAAATAATCCTTGGGAACCATCTTTTAGAAGAATGGTTGGATCTCCATTTTAAAGGAGCAGCCCTGCACAAAACTGACTGGGTAACAGTGTTGATTAATTATACTAATTATTCGTTTACAATATGTTTCAATATTTTACAGATTTTTACAGTATCATACAGTATTTACAATATTATTGCCCACTGACACCCCCCCTCCCATCCCCTCCCACTCCTATAAAATGAAAACCCAGCCTCATACTGGCCACTGCTTCTAACAAATAATCCACTATAAAATGAAAAACTGAGTCCAAGTGATTAGGAAAAAGGCCCCCTATAGAATAGAAACCGCTATTTCCAAGGCCCAAAAAAGTGGTTGCCCATTTTTTAAGAAGAGTGGTTGGATTTTCATCTTAAAATAAAACGCTGAGTCCCAGTGATCGGGAAAAGACCCCCTACTGAATAGACCATGCTTTTTCCAAGGCCCAAAATGTGGTTTCACATTTGGATCTGGGCTGGCACCTTCAAGCAAAAAAAACCTTGGGAACCATCTGTTAGAAGAATGGTTGGATCTCCATTTTAAAGGAGCAGCCCTGCACAAAACTGACTGGGTAACAGTGTTGATTAATTATACTAATTATTCGTTTACAGTATGTTTCAATATTTTACAGTATCATACAGTATTTACAATATTATTGCCCACTGACACCTCCCCTCCCACTCCTATAAAATGACAACCGAGCCTCATACTGGCCACCACTTCTAACAAATAATCCACTATAAAATGAAAAACTGAGTCCATGTGATTAGGAAAAAGACCCCCTATAGAATAGAAAACAGGATTTGCAAGGCTTCAAATTTGGTGTCACTTTTGGATATGTTTTTTTCCAAAACTGGATGGGCGCAATCCAGGTACCATTCTATAGTAAGAACTGGCCTACCAACTTCATCTCTATAGAATCGTATGCCCAGGTTCTGTATTCTATAGAGTTAATTCCAAGGAGGATTGTCAGGTAGTATTTCAGATAGAGTGCCAGATGTAATGTCAGAATATGTGCCAGATCAAATGAAAGGTAAAATGTCGTAAAATGTGTCAGATAGGATTTCAAATAGATGGCCAGAATTTACGTCATAGAGACATGCCAGAATTCATGTCAGATTAACTGTCAGAATAAATGACAGAAGGAATGCCAGAAGAGAGAATGCCAGAATATGTGTCACATAGCATGCCAGAACATATGTCATTTAGTTTTCCTGAATGCGTAGCAAGGGTTCCCGTTTCACTGTGTTCGCTCGACGTTGCCCAACCGTCCCCAACCGTCCGCAACCGTCCGCAACCGTCCGCGCGATCCCCATATGGCCCTCCATCTGTCATTCTATCTGGAATATATTCTGACATTCTATTTGACATTTTATTTCGCATGCTAATGCTATCTATTATTCCATCTTGGATTCTATCTAGCCAATTTTTCCGGCGTTCTATTTTTATCGGGCAGTCCGTCTGGCATCCTATCTGGAATTTTATCTGGCATACGGTACGGGTCTGGTGCCCTCGGCAAGCTCGCTGGCCTTCAAGTGGTCGTATACATGAGGACTGCAAAGAAGCTGGCAGTGAGGCGTATATCTCCCGGTTTGTCTGGGTGGGTGTGTGGGTGTGTGGGTGTGTGGGGTGTGTGCGCGGGAAGTTTTGTTAAAATCTAGGGACCCTCACCTGGCAGGGGGGGGAAAAAAGAAGGAATGAAGAACAGCGCAGAAGAGAAAGAGCGGAAGAAATGTCAAAGGAAAGAAAGGAAGACTGTCGACTCCCAGAAATTGTTTGAGGGGGGGTCCTGCACTAGTCAATGATGATATTCAGTCTATGTGTCTATGCGTCTATGCGCAATGCTCCCTGATGTTCGCATCCGTGATCCCCGTCACCAAGACCAAGGCACAGTGACCGGTAGGCTGTCCCATAATGCTTCCAAACCCAGACCCTCGGCTTATGGGCTGTGACACTCCCAGCCGAAACACTTGATATGTTGTGAAGCTAGACAATGATTCAGCGTTTGAAACCACCCAATGCTCAACTGTACGTCATTAAGCAGCATGCTGTGCTTTAGTCATCTTTAGTCACTTCGAAATGATGTTCTTTGTTGCTGTGGCAAAGGCAATAGGATACAACATGGAGTGCGCACCAACAATGCATCAAATTTGCCCCGCTGTCATTCCAGAAATAACGCAGGCACAATTCTGTCTACGCGGTTTTGATATTGAACAAGTAACCGTATTCGTCAAAACCATGATCTACACCCTGGAGTCCTCTGGAGCCTCTTCCCATGCCTAACTTGAACATCCTTCCTGCTATTTAATTCCAATTACCACTCCATCGCCGGGGTTCCTGTCTTCAAGTAGTTGCAGGTCATCCAGAATGAACACGGACAAAAGGTTTCCGGCCACCAGTGATCCTGGCCAGCTGAAGACCCAGGATATCACAGCAACCCAGCCTAGTCATGTGAAAACAAAAAAGACAAAAAAAAAGTGATTCAACATCAGATAAGCAACGCTCGGAAAAACTCCTGAAGCGATATCCCATACGTGCGTTTGGAAACGAAGACTTATAGTGGATCCTCCACAGTCACGGGCCCCTGACAAACATTTGCAAACTACGTCATTACATCTGCACAGACTGAGGGACAGAGACAGAGAGAGAGAGAGAGAGAGAGTCAGAGAGAGTCAGAGAGAGTCAGAGAGAGTCAGAGAGAGTCAGAGAGAGTCAGAGAGAGTCAGAGAGAGCCAGAGAGAGAGTAAGAGAGAGAGAGAGTAAGAGAGAGAGAGTAAGAGAGAGAGTAAGAGAGAGTAAGAGAGAAAGAGTAAGAGAACGAGTAAGAGAGAGAATAAGAGAGGGTAAGAGAGAGTAAGAGAGAGCAAAAGAGAGTAAGAGAGAGTAAGAGAGAGTAAGAGAGAGAGTAAGAGAGAGAGAGAGTAAGAGAGACAAAGAGAGAGAAAGAGAGAGTAAGAGAGAGTAAGAGAGAGTAAGAGAGAGTAAGAGAGAGTAAGAGAGAGTAACAGAGAGTAAGAGAGAGTAAGAGAGAGTAAGAGAGAGTAAGAGAGAGTAAGAGAGAGAGAGTAAGAGAGAGAAAGAGAGAGTAGGAGAGAGTAAGAGAGAGTAAGAGAGAGTAAGAGAGAGTCAGAGAGAGTAAGAGAGAGAAAGAGAGAGTAAGAGAGAGTAAGAGAGAGTAAGAAAGAGTAAGAGAGAGTAAGAGAGAGTAAGGGAGTAAGAGAGTAAGAGAGAGAGAGAGAGATAGAGAGAGATAGAGAGCAAGAGAGAGAGAGAGAGATGTATAAATATAAAAAGAGAGAGATATAAAACGATAGAGATATAAAAAGATAGAGATATAAAAAGAGAGAGAGAGAGATAAAAAGAGAGAGAGAGAGATATAGAAAGAGAGAGAGAGAGAGATAAAGAGAGAGAGGGAGAGATAGAGATATAAAAAGAGAGATAAAAAGAGAGAGATATAAAAAAAGAGAGAGATATAAAAAGAGAGAGAGAGAGATAAAAAGAGAGAGAGAGAGAGACTCAGAGTCTCAGCCACCTTTCGGTCCATCAGCGGGTTCGCTCTGCCATCCATGCATCATGTGGCAATAGAGATGTGTATCGCCCACTTTCCAACTTGGATGTGCCCCAAAGTACTCCTCCATTTGTATCCCCTACACTGTGCTGCTGAAACTCCCTCTCCAACCTCTCGAGCGGATCAACCAATCCACCCCGACAGGCCTGTGATCATGAAGATCGTGAGTAATACCTCGACGCGAACGGTATTTCAATACAAAGCCGAACGGTATTTCAATAGAAAGGAAAAATGTTATGCACATGTCCTGCCTCTCAAAACTTATCCCCAGATCTTAATATCAAACATTTTGTTCTTAATCTTGTTGACAAGAGGGTGTTCATTCCTGACCATTTATGGGGCTTGTTGAAAAAGCGATATCCTTCCTTTGCTATGTGGATTGACTGGAGGGGGCAACCGTGCCAAGCACAGCCTTCGGCCCATGTCATTCCTTCTCGCCAGAGAAAACTTCCGCTTCAAGTGCGTGAGTTGATCTCTCAGAGTATCGAGTATCATAGAAACAGGATGGAGCCATGGTCCCAACCCTTTGGTGCGATATACCCCTTGGCATGGGCTTTCTTTTTAGTTGAATTTGTTGCAACATATGGCTGGGTCCGTGGCTTCCTATTTCCAGAACTGGGATTTGCAACTCTTGTGCGGCGCTTTCGTTGCCATTGGATACATTTTGTCAAAGAAGCCTTTTCGGATTTATGCCCTGAAATCTCTTCTTCCAAAATTGGTGGCCAGTTCGGCTTTGCTCGTTTGAAGGCTTTTGGCATTCACCGTAATTCTGGCTGCAAGACAGCGTTGTGAACTATATTGATCCAAGCTAGTTTGTGTGACCGCATGTCCACTAGGGCTTGGAAACCTGATTGGAATCTGACTTTGGCATTGACTTGGGTTTCTGGAGGAGCGAGGCGTGCATGTTGTAGTGATGTGCCTGCAAGGCTTGTGTTGATTGCAAAAAAAAAGCCGAAAACAAAAACATCCCAAAAACACACACTCACAGACCTGACACTTCAAAGCTCCTATGAGATTCTTTAAGATGCATTTGGTTAAAAATAGATTTCAATGTGTGATTACCTAATATATATATATGTGTGTGTGTGCACGGCTACTGGCTATCTTTTTACAGCTATTGATTGAATGACCGCAAGGTGCTATTACAACACCACCAGTAGCAACAGGAAGACCAGAATGGGCCCAAGAGAAACATGGTTTGGGTAGTTTGGACGCATTTAGAGGCGCACTTGCATGCGACCAACTTCCATAAAAGAAACAGTTCTTAGGAAACTTCGACTGTAGATTGGCGACCGCGATGTCTTGAAATCATCACACAGTGCCATCGACATGTTAAACCTCGGATACACTCCTTTTTTTTCTGTAGGAGTAGGCCAACATATATATATATATATATAATCATATATATATATATAATTAAATATATAATATTCATCTAAATTATGGTCCCACAAACAGTGGACATCTAACCTGGTGCGGCCCGCGGAGTTTTTCCAGGACACCATGGACCAAAAGAGCGATGTGGCGAAGGACCTCACAACAGGGGCAGTGGCAGGTTGAAACAGGAGGCCGAATTCGATTAGTTCTTGGCGGGAGCTATAGTATGTAGCTACATGTGCAAACAAATGCCGATTATATGCATGAATATATGTATATATATATATATATATTTATACAGCTGCAATTATATCCATTCCGAAAATGTGCGCGCGCACACACACATAATGAAATGCACTGTTACTGTTCATGAATGCAAGTGGATCGTAACGGATGTCCAAGCAGAGAAATCCCAAGGATAAGGAAGCTGGTTTTGAATTGCCAACAAGCTTGCTGACCTTACAGAGTTTCCAACCAGACTGACAGTATCTTTTTTCAGGTGAACGACCTCAAGGTAAAACTTGCCTGGCAGTGGCAGAATGGGACGGAGCATGTGCCCCACCCTGCAGTAACCAAAAGCCTCCTAATTTACATTTGTCAATATTTTTCCTATGTTTGTTTATTTGACTTGACTCTGAATGAGCCCACTTTGACGGGAACTCTCGAAGATCTCTATATACACAAGGACAACTAGAAACGCGTGACACGTGCAGAATAACATCAGCTTTGACTGATTGACTGGTTGTGACACATTCCACATGCCCAAGCTCACTCAGGTACTTGGTGGCTCATCCCAGTTAGTGGGTAAGTTCATCCCGTGTTAGTTAAGGCAAGGAAGAGCATTGCTCAGCTATGGGGTGAACTAACCCATCAGTGGCCATTTTCCCCTAAATTGGAGGTACCTACTTTATATAAGATATATAAGGTCTAAGTTTCAGGGAATCTAGAATCTGGAAGCATGGCTTTAGATTTAGTTCGTACAAAGGCTCCGTTTTAGGATCCTGAAATTGCCATCGAACCCACGATTCCAATGATTAACCCCTACCCAAACATCCAGTGGTGAGGCCGGAACTGACATGCGCGAAGCAGCAAATGGACTCCAGAAAACCTCGCTGAAACCCGTCAAAACGATGGAAGGATTTAAACGGAAAACGAAGCAATATATCTTGACTTTAACTTATTTTTTTGAAACAATCAATGTAAGAGCTTCTTGCAAAATGTCCACTAAAACAATTCCAATGATGAAAGCAGGGACCCTTGGATGGTGACATCTTGCACGTCGGTGCCCAAACAACTCTCAGCTAGGGTCCTTGCAGGTGACTCCAAGAGTTTCAACCCGCTTTGGAGCATAGTCAAGTTTAATGTGTACATGACCTTCATGTTCATGCATAATAACAAATACTTGCGCATGTGTATATATAAATATATATATAAATAAAGACACAAACACAAAAACTATGTATAAATACGTTAAAAACACACAACAAATGCACACACCCTTGCAAATAACATGTTACCTAAAACGCAAAAACAAAAAATAAAACTTTCTTAACATGGCACCTGCGGAGCAGTGTTTTATCTTAACATGCAAGAAAAAGTCCACCCCATGAGGTCCGCTTTTTTTTTCTATGCTAAGATTTAAGGTTCACATGTTGGGAAAGTCATTTTTTTGTTTTTGTTTGTCCATGTTATTTTGCCAGGGGGTATATATTATGTGTGTGTCTGCAGCTCCCCAACGTTTTATTGCTGAAGGCTCACCCTCTGGTTCAAGGCCGAAACTGAATTCGGAAAACAAGAGGGCTGTTGTTGGCTGGCCCCCGTCTTCAGTGACGATGTTTGTCCTATTTTGCTTTGATGGCTTATGTAAATAATGATGCGCAGTGCTTATCCAATCCCTGAACGTTTTCTTACGGCTACGTTTACAAGAAGTCATTGTTCTCTTTGAGCATGAAGTCATGAAACATGGAAGGTTCCTGTCATGTCTAAATTGTTATGCACTGCTTCGATCCAGAGAAGAAGCACATCCTGGGTAAAATCATGCAAAATCCCAAAGGTTGGTGGGAAAAACCACCCACTTTTTTTGCGTACAGCAACCTCCAGAAAGAGAAAACACTAATGTTACCACTATACACTTTGTATAGCAGGATTTCGCGTTTCTATCTTTCTGGGGCATGTCTAGAAGTGCCCCCTGGTGATTTAACAGTTTGCCATGGAAAGCAACCCGTGAAAGCACATGATTTACCAATGATACTTCCATGGCCATTGTCCAAACTGGCAAAGATTGCCGCAGGATATATTAATATATATTGTATAATAAAGGCATTATATTCATTTCCCATATGCCCATTGAATCTTCGCCGTTTCATCACCGCTTGCCGCCTAAACAAGAAGCCATTGAAGGGCTTTCAACAAACGTATGAGTCGCAGCGAGTTGATGGCTCGCATGACGTGTTTGCCTTGGTCACGAGCCACGGCCATTTGTCTTTCTGGATGTGGATTATCCATATCATACTTATGTTAGTTTACTGGAGGGCAGTGTTGACGATGGATCATCGGTGAATAACAATGATCATCATTATAGTATTCCGACGAAAATGGAAACGCTACTTACCACTTTTCCAAAACGATGCTACTTTTGTTTGGGGCTGCAGCAACCAAGAAGAATGATCGAACTCGAACTTACAGTATTCAAGTCATCATAGTGATCATACTCACAACAGAATTGTTGAAACTGCGCTGGTTGATGGTGTTCAGCCTCGCAATTCCTTAAGCGTTTGGGTCGGAGCCGTGCCAATATACTCAAGGAAACTGAGTAGGAAAAATGTGCTGCAAGGCTCCAGGCGGAAAGTATGCAAAATCAATTTAAAAAAGTCGAAAAACGAAAAGTCGAAAAGTGTAAAGGTTTCGTTTTGAATGTCGAAAAGTCGAAAAGTAAGAAGGGGTGTATTAAAATTTTGAAAAGTATACTTTTTGACTTTTTACTTTTCGACTTTCTGTTTTTTTTGCCGAAAGCCTTTTCAGCTGAACATGCGCAGCTAAAAGTACAAAACTTAAACCGTTGAGAGTCGAGAGGGAAGAAGACAAGACGAAAAGACGAAAGGTGAGAGGCAAGAAGAAAAGTCGAAAAGTCAAAAAGTATACTTTTTGACTTTTCACTTTTTGACTTTTTGAATTTTTGGAGGATGCCTTTCCAGCCTTTTTTTCCAGCTTAGCAAGGACAGCCTCTTGCCGCGACAACAAACAATGATCCGCTTCTGAGGGTAGATTCAACACCCAAACTGACTGGTGGTGGCTTTACCCCACCACCGATAAAAGCCAACATCCAACCAACTAAAAGACTCACATAATACCAGCCCATGGCTTGCGGTTCACACACACACACCTATATATATATATATATAGGTGTGTGCATATAATTTATAATGAGTATGTATATATATATATATACATTTACATACATAAAACTTTGCGCCGCAAGAACAGCTAGTTATGACATATTTTTCCTGATTGGCTGAACCCAAATAGATCCCAAATAGCAAAGGTTTGACCAGAATCATTGCTGAAGTACTATAGGCCGCCAAGATTGGCCCAAGCCCCAGCAATCAAAAGCTACCTATGTGTAAAGACCGCCAAAAAACTGCCCTCAATGCGGGGTCACGCAGCTACAAGCTCTAATTAATAATTGTTCTATGACGTTCTATGCACATATATATATAATTATATATATACAATTATATATATATACAATATATACATATAAAGTATAAAGAGGAATTTACCCACTATTGTAGAATTTAACTACAAACTATCACAATCTATCAGAGATATTTCGAAATGAAATGTCAATCAATCACCATGTGTGATGATCAAAATCTAATTATTGCTGATTCATTATATACTCGCCCCCAAAATAACATAGACAATGCCAAACAAAGGTTTGGAAGGCTTGTTTCATGTTTCTCCTCAAAATTGGCTGTGTTAAGGGTTTATCTTAGTTCCGGGGAGGGTAAACCATGGTAAACTCATTTCACCTTGCTCCGAGCCTTGCGTCACCCCGTGGAATCCAGGAATACCAACCGCCACCGAGCAGCCAATCATCAATGTATGTGCTTGCATGTTGACCACAATGACGACGAGGTCAATGCAGCAGCCACAAACCATCAAAACGTCATAGATGGTGGAAGGTCTCCTGGACACCCGGAAAAATAAATGCTTAATTGGAGGTCTACACGTTACATTTAGACAAACCTCATTTAAATACGTAAACAATATTACAACTCATTAGTTAACGTTTTATCATTGGAGTGGTTAGTCACAAACATATACCTTTGCTAACAGTCAATCCAATGATGGTGACGTCGCAGTGAGGTCGTTATGATTTAATTATCCAGAAACATGTAAACATGCCAGCTTTTGGCCACAAAAAAATGGAATATATTTGCATGTAATCAACAAATCTGATGTGGATACGTTAATTATCTTTGGGCTCTGTTGGTTGGCTTATATCCCATAACTGTAGGGTATATGGTGGAAACAATCTACAGTTGAATGGGTCTACACACCAACTTGCAACTGAGGGGCCCCACAGACAGTTGCTCTGACAGAGGCGACATTGGGATGGGACTGCCATGCAGGAAGGCGCCCAGTGATGTGTGTTGGTTCATAGTGAACCCATCTTAAACAATAGATTAAATTTGTAGAGACCATAAACTGACCATAAACCATAAATCCTATTTCATCATATTTCGAGTTGCAAGCTGCTGTAGTGACGATACACTGGAACATAGCTGCCGACTGGCAGCAGGACTGAGTCAAATCACAGGACTTAAGGGTTGAAATGTGCTCCTTACCCTGGTGGTAACGGGTACATTGAATTTATATAGATTGGGTTCTATCCCCAAATGATTTGGATCTGTCATGAATCCTAGATGACCCCAACCCAACTACAATCGAGCTATGTGAAGTAGGCTTGGCCGTTGGCCACGATCTGCAAAATGAATTCCTGAGATCCCGAATGCGCTGCATTTTGGGGATGGGTCAAGACATGTCAAGACCTATAAAATTACCATACTGGGGAAATAAGCGTCCATTCACCAGCTATGACTTAGGGTACCTAGGACCTACGCTTGCAGTCTTGAGTTTCGCGTCAAACCGTTTGGTGTCTTAATTTGGGCCTGTGTTCGACGCTTCAGCTGTTGAACTCGAGGAAACACACACACATATATATATATATAAATTATATATATATATATATTCCGGGATTTCGCTTGATGGGATTATTATTAAAGCTACCGACCAATTGCAGGGAAGTGTCAATAAAGAAGTCGCTGGTTCCTTTTCCAAATATTTGATCCTATTTGATTGTAACTCCACAACCCCTGCGAAACGAAGCAAGTGCAGGTAATGGCCAGCCGCAGGCTCAACTCGTTTCAAGGAGAAAACTTGCTCTCCCAGTCCACAAGGGCATCACTAAGATCATTGGCCTTGGCCCTAGACTCTCCGCTCTCGGTGGGGGATACATCAAAAGATACGCAAAAATGTGGGACCCGGGGGAACAAGTGGCAAGCAAATGCTGTAGGCTCAGCATCTAAAGCATCACAACTTTGATTGTAGCAAATTCTTGAAGCGAGGTGGACAGTGGAGGTTGGAAGGAGGCCGTGACCAACCCTGAAGAATGTTATACAGTGCGTTTGTCAACCCATTCGCAACATACTATAGAATCATTGGGGACCATCATCCTAAATAATAAAGAATAAACAACTGCAACAACCAATGAGGTCTAGAATAGGAAACGAATAAACGCTTGAAGGCCCACATTTGGAGCCTGTTTCTGGTGAAGGAAATAGCACAATCCTAAAAGATAGAACGCTTGTTCACCTGAAAATTATGGGGAAAACAGTATACTTATACAATCCTGGAAATCGTATAAAGTGTCTCTCTTTTCGGGGGGCTTGCTATGTTCCAAACCACATGTAGGACCATTTTGAATAATCCCGGTTCTCTCTCTCTCTCTCTCCATTGCCACAACGATCCTGGTTATTCAGTGCAATTTACAAACTTCTGGCTGGTGTGAGGTTGCTATACGCCAGAAATTCAGCACCTCTGCCAAGGTTCAAGCATAAATAAACTATCAAACCTCAGACGGTCATTCAAGCATGTGGTTGAATCAAAGAAACCCAGAGGCTCTTGCGACCCCGCTAAATGCGCAGCAATGCGCAGAACGAAAAACACAGCAAAAGAACCTTGCACCAAAAAATGTGCAACCCATTGTATCCTGCCTCAGTCATCTAGCACCCAGGAAAAGCGCAGGACCGAAGAAATAGTTACCAATAGTTCATCAACATTTCACCATAGTGTGATGGACATCTTGTAAGGGTACTGTATCTGTTTGGATCTCAATCGCAGGGGGACAAAAACACGGAAAAAATGCAAACGTGCGATGGATGGCGATGGAAATAGCTGACTCCTCAACAACTGGCTGTCATATCCCCAAACATCACTGGACATGTTTTGTGGGCTGAGTAAAGGTTTAAAAGTTACAGCCCACTGAATGGTCACCAACTTTCACAAACTCCAGTTGGTTTACACACATGTTTTTTCCATATTGATTGTTGTACTGCCATTTTTGAATATTTTTGTTAGATAATTAATTAGTTTATTCCATTTATAATGCATTTTTTCCTAATGCCATTTGTTGGCTTCCATGTTTTTGTTCACCTTTTTGTACTGAAATCGTTGCGCTTCTTTCCTCCGCCGCCCAAAAAGGGTGACGTTTCAGGCCCAAGGGCAAGGCATCAGCCACGCGGAAGGGAATAGTGTGCTCCGAAACCTGGAAGTCCTGCGGAGCGACAGCGAAACCAGAAGGTTGCATCTGTAAATCGAAGTTTCCATGGATGGAAATAAATACACATACATACATGCACATTATATATATATATATGATTTTTGTTTTAAAACAAATGAGATTATATATTATATATAATTATATTTATTCATTTGTTTGTGTATATATATATATGTGTGTGTGTTTTCCAACCCTTGCTTTGAACCGGCATGCTGCAAATGAGAAGGGCATCAACACGAAAAACACTGATTGACCGGTAAAGAGACGAGCCAATAGGCTATAAAATCGTATGTTGAAAAAAGGTGAGGGGGCATTGAGGGCGCACATCACTGTAATAGTGATAATCGAAAACTGTCTAATAAAAAATAAAAAGCATATAAAAACCGCATCTTCCCCTGGGGATCCAACTGCCTTCTAGGGTCTAGGTTTGTTTAGGGTATGATTTGGGGGTTAGGCGAACCTTCGCAGGAAGTCCTTGGAATCGTAGGGCCGATATAAAAGGCACTTGCAAACTAGGTGCTATTCTACAAAATTGCTTAGAGGACATCCGTTTCACGCTTCAACTTAGTAGATGTATCTTAAAATGAGGTGGATCCCCACGTCACCAAAGGTTTCAATACTAAAATTGCTTGATAGTTTAATCTGGGATGATTTGGGGGCACCTCCATTTTAGGAAACTTACATTTATTGAATTTGGATGCATATAGTTACAGTTCCATATTAATATTAAAACCCAAAGCCACAGTCATGGTTCCACGTCATCTCCTGAACCAATTCACAAACACACGCACACACACAAAGGACTGACTTTAGGGGTGGTATTCGGCATGGGCCACGGGGGGTAGATAGACTGAGATAGAAGCAACTCTCTTGAGTTTCGGCATTGGTGGCATCAACGCTTTTTTCAAAACACTAAATCATGTATCAAGTATCAAGCATCATGTGCCATCTATCATCATGAAAAAAAACAGTGTCATGATCGTGAGCATGATGCCGATGATGATGATGATGATGATGATGATAATGATGATGACGATGATGATGATGATGGTGATGATGACGATTATGATGATGAAATGATGATGACAATGACAATGATGATGATAATGATGATGATGGTGGTGGTGATGATGATGACGATTACGATGGCGGTAAGGATGATGATGATGATGATGGAGATGGATGATTGATGGTTGATGGTTGATGATTGATGATGATGATGATGATGATGATGAGGGTGATGGTGTTGATGGTGGTGATGATGATGATGATGGCGATTATGATGATGATATGATGATGACAATGGCAATGATGATGATGATGATAATGATGATGATGGTGGTGGTGATGATGATGACGATTACGATGGCGGTAAGGATGATGATGATGATGATGGAGATGGATGATTGATGGTTGATGGTTGATGATTGATGATGATGATGATGATGATGATGGTGCTGATGTTGATGATGATGGTGATGATGATGACGACGACGATGACGGTCACCATGACGGCCACCACGACCATCACATTCCATCGCGTTCCATCATATTCCATCATACTCCATCATATTCCATCACCGTCGTCATCAGCACGACAATCACGAACATCACAACCACCACCACCACCAGCACCTTCATCATATTCTTCTTCATCACCTTCACCATCACCATCACCATCATCACCATCACCACCACCATCATCATCATCATTATCATTATCATCATCATCAATCATAAATCATGAATCATGAATCATCATCATCATCATCATCACCATCAATCATCAATCATCAGTCATCAATCATCAATCATCATCATCATCAGTCATCATTCATCCATCACCCATCATCCATCATCATCATCACCAATCATCATCGTGAATTATCAATCATCAATCATCGATCATCAATCATCATCATCATCATCATCATCATCAATCATCAATCATCAACCAACAATCATCCATTTCCATCGTCATCATCACCACCATCATCATCATCATCACCATCACCATCAACATCACCATCATCACCACCACCACCATCATCATCTTCATCATCATATGCATTTTTCCTTCTTCTGTGCTCTTCTTTTTTTCTAATTCTTTCTTCTTCATCTCAAATCAGATTGAGCAACATATCAGCATAGAATCATGAAGCTCTTGTTGTCGTGGGCTCCGGTCCATGGCCCCATGGCCCCATGGCCCAGGGTCCTGCCCCAGCAAGGCGCCTGCGTTGCGGCCCTCCCATTCAAATTCCAGGATCATCAACTGGGAGCCAACTGGGGCACGCAGCCCCTCCACTGGAAATCCAGCTGCACTCCCTTCTGGTAAATCTATGCCTGACTAAAATCGCATGTCCCAATATTTCTTACGGGTAGGGTCCCGTTTTGGAAGTATAGACAAAAACACAAAATCCAAAACCTCAGCAAAGACATGTCGTGGGACCGAGACAGTTTTGCATGTAGTATGGGATCCAAGCCGAGAAGGCAGGCGGGATCGACCACCAACATGTAAGGCCGGCTGGTGAAAATATCAAACCAAACTAACTGTTGGTGGTGATATATGGTTGATAATAGTCGTTGGATGTCCACTACGTTTTATTGCTTCATGCTTAATATCCCGTTCTGTTGCTGATTGCGGTATTGATTAGGTTAGATCGACAGTAAATACCAACTGGAAACGGCCTTGATCATCATCCACTGAGTATGCGGGAATAGGCCCAGGCGGTAAGTCCCTCAAACAGCGAGATCTGGGACATTTGGGGCCATATTCTATCATATTTCTATACAATAAACCAACATAGCTATATTGAGGGTGTATCCGTGAACCAGTTTGTCAATATAGAGGATGTATCACTTTGGAACAATCAGCCGGCACAACTGAGAACTGATCCTCTATCAAGTTTTTTAAAAAAGGTTGCCGAGTGGCCAAAGAGCTCAAGCAAATCAACGCTCCAGCGAACTGATCCAACCTCCTGTGGCACACGATTGTTGTTTATATATGGCTATGGGTAAAAAGCCTGGTGTCCTTGTGAACCTCACAAAATAGCTGGTAAATGGGTGTTGATCCCCAAACAATGCCAAACATATGGTAAAATAGGTTTTCATCCCCATATACTTCAAAATATTAAAGCATACATTATAGCTTCTTTATTCAATTAATTTAACCGAAACAATGATCTTCTTGGGGATAATCACCCCATCTGTTGGAAATTCCTACGAACTGGATATGGATATGTCTCACAATGTGGGGCTACTCCAAAAAATGGCATGTTTTCCCGGGAATTGAAATCAAACATGGGGCTTTTCCGGATCAGTTGAGACAACTCCATGTTTCATTTCACCTGGCAACTGCTTGTTAAAGAGAAACAAAATTGGGACATTCCCTTTTGTATTGGATGAAGGTACTGTAAAATATAGCTGTGACCTATCCACATGTCTTGTAGCCAACCACTCCCCCAGCTTCTTGTAGAACTGGTAGACGGAGATTGCCAAACGCTGAAAAAATTACATGGGAAAAACGGTTGCTGGCGTGCTGAAGATATATGACGACCCCTCATGTTTCAAAAACTGAATGAGAGGAAAATGCGGTGCTCTGGTTTGTTTAATCAGCCCAATTCACGGGCCGGTTTAACCTGTCAAACCAGGCGAAACCGGTGAAGAACGCAAGTTGCATGACCGAACAACTATATAATCATCCCATGTGCCCCAGGAAATTTCAGCAACCTTTGCCCCCAACATGGATCAGAATGGTTCTTTTGCGATACATTTGGCACATCATACAGGATCAACAGGGCCCCGGGTGACCCAAGGGCTTTGTTTCCGAGGCAACAGGGCAGTCCTGGGAAAGCTCGACTCCGGTACCTCCGACTGGAAATCTTCAGCCAAAGTCTGCTTCAAAGTGTTCATCACCTGAGCGACGATGCCGTGCAGGACACAAGGCGCCCAAAAAGCGGATTTAACATGAGGACACACCACTCAATGCAATGGTTGGCTGGGGATAAAGTGGATGTAACGGATAAGTCTATTTAGATGGATTTATACATAACTGCTTGTAACTGGGTGGGTCCTTCCTGTGCAAAAAAACATGATTCAATATTGATTCAGTTGCAGGTACATTTCACCAAATCTATGATTTGGGCGTTTGTCAATTGTCGCAACATCACCATAGGGTTACCTGCAACCTCTCCCTTGGGCCACTTGTTGGGTCCTCTTCCTTTGATATGTCACTAAGCATGCCTTGCTACTTTTTTTCATATTCATGCGGGACAGAGCTGGAGAAAGTGCGGTAATTTTTGCATTTTTGTTTTTGTGAATATTCAGTTATCGATGTGAGTGATATCAACGAAGTGACACTTCAAACAGGGAATGCTGAGGATACTGTTTGATATTTTGCCTGCCTTCAATGCCAGAATCACTTGAAATAAGTCATGTTAATCCATGTCTTGTAAATTTGTTCAACCATATCTTAGCCATTGTTCACCAATTTTTGGGTCTGAAACGAACAAACCAATCCACAGGTGAGTCATCATTTTTCCCTGAAGCCTAGGGCGTGCCCCATGTCTGCACCAATCCAATGTTTGATGGTCAAATCCATGGTGTTCATCATTTTTTCTTGGTTAAATCACAAGTTCTTAAACCATGCTTGGCTGTTAAATCATATTGCCGTAAATGCCCAGTCTTCTCATACTTGTGTTGGCATTCTTGTCGTTAAATGCCTGTATGAATCTGTACGATACCCCAAGAAACATCGACAAAGATTCCGCGAACTTCGGGCCTTTGTCCAAGGCGCACCGGGTGTGTTCATTGCAGGGCTCTTCGGGGTACTGGCGCCGTTGAACCTGGTGTAACTTTTTTGTTGCGGAGCAACAATTGCAACAAACAACTGAAGTTTTCCAAACAAAATGATGATCTTAACATATTTTTAATAACTATACTAACTATATCCATACATTTTGTTGTTATTTTTTTGCTGTTTAATTGACAGGTATGGGTGATTTTTCATGGAAATTTGACAAGCAAGTTTCGGGCTTAAGCAACAAGAACCGTGACACTGTGTGGGAGTAAGGGTGCGTTTGTTTTTTTGTTCGCGGCCAAAGGATTTCACCAGCACATATCGGGTTTCACATGGGTTGACCAAGAGTTGTTCAACCAACTAAAAACGGGGATATTAGCTGTTGGGTTTGAAAGCCGATATAACGATATAAGCCAGTGAAAAAAACTCATGTTACAGTTGACTGGTCGTAACTAGATTAAAAAGAGTGTTCTTTCTACATGACTGCAGTTGCTGTTGGGTTTGCACTACGGTAACTAGAGGCCCAGATCCACTGGTTCTCTCGCCGCTTTGGGGGACATGACATGGAATGAATCATTTGTTTGTCATCCCATTTTATTCAAGGATAAACATGACAAATATATACTAGTATATACTAATATATGAATATAAATCATGACTATGTTTGAAAATGTTTGAAACGTATTGAAAACACATTTGTTACGTGCTTCAGAGTTCTTGGGTCTTGAAAACCTTAGACTTCCGGATGCTTTCTCATGGTAATGTCAAATCTGATTGTATAAATGCCATCAAACTGATGGTTTCCTCAATGGTAGCCTGCATTCATGGGGTTTGTGCATTTTTAATTGGTTGCTGACATGCATCTGCTGTAAACGGCTGGTGGGTTCTTCTGGGAAAACAACCGCAATCTCCTGACTGTACTTGCGCAAATGTTTGATATGATTCCTCGTATATTAAGACAATCATTTATGGAGCTCGGTAGACACATGGGGTCGTTATTATTGACTCAAGTCCGGGCGTGTCAAATTCAACCAATTCAACAATTGGTCGCCATGTTCCCTTATCTTCGCTAAAAATAACGGCTATATAGTTTGTGTATGATTGTGTGTGTGTGTAAGTCATCCCCTTTTTGACAGCTTATTTCCCAACCTTCAACACAACTCACAGCGGGACCACCATGCCCCCCACCAATTGGTGATGGAGCTGTCGATCCTGTTTTTGGCCTGGCCGCCGCAAGGTTAACATTGCAAAAAAAACATGGATTTATCACCAGGCACGGTGGGGAGATGGAGAATAGGTTAACATAGCGTAAATGGTACGCAGTTCTGGGAAACATTTTGACCTCGACTATTGTAAGTCATTTTTTCAGCGGTTTTTTGTTGTGTCTACGACGGTGGCCGGCGGTGACCTTTTGTTGTGAACCTGTGGGGCTGGAGGAGGCCTCAATCAACAAATACAATGTGGTAAACCCAATGGCATAAACCTACCATGACTGGGAATAACTTATGCAAAGCCATAAAAATGGTGATGACTTGGGGATGGTTTGTGGCGGTTTACCCTATGACAGGGATTGGGCACAACTCAGAAATGATTGAAGCCAGGACTCCAGGACGGCACTTTTTACATAATAGATATTTTATAGATTGAATGGTGCTTAAATAGTTTCAATCATTGAATACCTTAATCTGTCCCATGCCTGGTTGTTTAAAACCCGTGAAGAATATCAGTCAATCGGCCTCATATTCCGAGTGAGGATCGGTTTTGTCAAAACTGAATCCATGAATCAGTGGTGGTTTCTGAGCCAACGAGGCCACGTCGTGAACTCTACCGCCAGAAAAATACTGTGGATGGCTGTGAAATCTTGCAGCATGCAGTTGGTAGATGGAAGAAATGCCATTAAATAAATACAGGATGGGGCCCTCAAGATAGCCAAGTTGCCTTATAAGTGGTTTAACTCTGGTTTATGGTAGATATAACTATAGTTAATGGGGGTTATAATGGTTTATAAGCCAACTTAGAACATCTTAGAACTGGGGGGGCCCATCCTGCATATATATATATATATATTAATCATATACTAAAGGGTTTCAACCATCCTTTAGGTGGTGAAAGATTTCGCAGCCATCCACTTTTTGGAACAGGATGTTGCTGGTGAAATCCAATATTTAAAATATGTTGGCATGTTGGTGTCTTGTTGGTTAGACCCACTAGTTACTAGTTTTGTCCACATGTTTGGTCGATTCGATTCTCATGCCTCCTAGATCCCATGTTTTGCTAATCACAAACAACTTGTGTCAGTCACATCCCAAAAATTTGGTGGTTCAATCATCATCTTTGTTGGATTTCTTGTGGTCCAATGAGGATTTTGGTGGGAAACAACCTCCCAATTCGTTTGCGAGATTTCAGAGTGCGCCCTGTTCAACTGAGGACATCGTTGGACCAAGCTGAGGAGCGATGTGATCCTCCGGGCCAGGCTCCAAATCGATGCTGACCTGGCCAGAACATGGAGGAAACCCAGCCGAAATTCGTGCAAGGCCCGCAAGTTTGATAGATTTCTGTAAACAGAACTAAGTTAACTGGGATGGATCTATGATGGATATATAGTAATTACCTTTAAAAAGACTATATATATGAACCAACTTCAAACAGGGGGGGCCTTCTTGCGTGGGTTGCTCGAGAAAAAAAAGTGCTCCAAGAACCATTGGTTTAGAACCTCATTTTCCCATCTCAAAATTGCCACTATTAGGGGCGTACCCAATTTTCAAGTTGCGAACCCACCCAAAAGACCACTGTAGATGCTATGTTGGAGAAAAGATTGCAGGGATTAAATGGAAACCCAAGGACGCATGATTTCACATAGGTAATCTACACCTGGTTAGCTTTAAATACCACCCAAGGATCTAACGCAAAAAGGTGTTGAAATTGCCAAACAAAAGTGTACCCAGCTTAATCTGGTAAATCGATGCAAAATCCCAAAAAGATAGACATTGTACAAGTTTCAAGTTTTCATTTGCTTTATGGTTTTGGGCGTGCTTCATCCCATAGATTGTAGCATTTCCTGGGCCTCATCGAGGTGATCCTGCTCAGGACAGGGGTCCAACTCCAAGCTGTCCTGGCAGGTTTCGAACTTGCTAAAGGTTACCAAGCCAATTGGTATGGATTGATTTACGAGTGATAGATCTATATATCATTCTATATCAAGATATTATAACCTTTAGCCTATAATTTTGCGGCGCCTCCTTGCGCAGGATTGTCTGAAAATAAACCGCCTACTTTCGCAATGGAAAGTAGAAATTCCTTGGTTGTACCCAATTTCAATAAGACCCATGTAACCCAGGGAGGCAAAAGGTACTAATCCCATCCCCGTAATGCTGCACACCCCCGAAATGGTCCCAATTATGTGGAAATACCATACTAAACCATGGTTTATGGGGGTTCATATTTCGGGGGAGGGATTACGCCCACCAATTCTGGGTCATCATTTCGGGGATGACCCCCTGTGAAGTATGAATCATTCACCAGGAAGACAGGCACCACACTTTTTGAGTGGTCCCTACGTCAGTACCAGCCTCTTCAATCCGTGCAGAAACCTGACGTTTGTTTGGTTCGCTCGGCAGCTTTCTGACAAGCTCCTGCGCCCAGGAACTGAGTGTCGGAAATGGATACCCGAAGATGGAAACGAACAGTCGATGGAAACCATCTATGGCGGAATCCTGGAATGTGAGATCCTTGAAGAGAAAAACCAGATTATGACCTGGAACCTCATTCTGCAAATCAATGTTTGGGTTCAGCCTCATAAATATACCAATCCTAGCACCTGTATTTTGGCAAACTATATAGCATCATTAGCTTAATACATCAGTTCCAAATCAAACGCACATCAAATTGGGACCATTCCCTTTTGATTGATAATTGAACGAATCTGTCGGTCGCAACATAATGTTCCGAGCATTATCCCTTCTTGTTCTTCTTTCACATGAACCAATGGTGGGAATTTCTTGCTTGGTGGATGTATAGTAAACAACAAAAATGGAAGATCTGTGTGATATGCACAGATATGTACAGCATGTATATATATATATATATATATTTATTTAATGTGTGTGTTTAAAAAATATATATATATATAATATAATTTGTGTGTTTGTGCGCAACTGCAAGTAAGTACATAGATGTACATAGTATACAACTGCATCATGGAACCCCGGAAAGCTGTGTAATTATATATATACCAGTAGTACCGCTCAAGGCGGTGGCGGAAGTTTCAAAAATAGGAAACCTATAGGAGAGATTGGTTGTTGTGAATCACGGATGGCAGAGCGCATCCACTGATGGACCGAAAGGTGGTTGGAGCTGTGTTTCTTGGAGTGGCTGCAATGGTTGCAGTGGTCACCTGGTCGGTCACCTCACCCACAACTGCTGGATGTAGTGTGGCGTAGTGCAGCTGTAGTTGTAGTTGTAGTGTAGTGGAGTTGTAGTTGTGGTGTAGCGTAAGCAGTGTAGTGAATTGCAGTTGCATTTGTGGTGGTGTAATGAGTGTAGTGTAGTGTAATGCAATGTAATGTAATGTAATGCAATGTGGGGTAGGGTAGTATCGTGTAGTGTAATTGAGTGTAGTGTGGTGTGGTGTGGCGTGGTGTGGTGTGGTGTAATGTGGTGTGGTGTAGTGTAGTGTTGTGTAGTGTAGTGTGTGTTGTGTGTTGTGTGTTGTGTTGTGTTGTGTGGTGTGGTGTAGTGTAGTGTAGTGTAGTGTAGTTTAGTGTAATGCAATTAGTGTAGTGTAGTGTTGTGTAATTTGTGTAGTGTAGCGTAATTAGATGTAATTATAGTGTGGCATAATGTAATTAGTGTTGTGTAATGTACCGTAGTATATTTGTACTAGTAGTTGTAGTAGTAGTAGTAGTCTAATGTAGTGGTACTTGTAGTTGTAGTTGCAGTTGTAGTTGTCTCTCTATCGACCTCTATCTGCAAGATTGAAAACAAAGCAACTCTGCGAGACTTCTTCATTTTTCAAAGTTGACATCAAAAACGCAGCAATTCTGCGAGACTTCCTCAATTTTTGAACTTAACAACGTCAAAAACAAAAAATCTGCGAGACTTCTTCAATTTTTGAACTTGACAACATCAAAAACAAAGCAATTCTGCGAGACATCCTTCAAAAATGGAAAGCTGCGTGCAGCGCTGACGGCCTCGTACCAATGCGTTTGCGATTTTTCCAGTCCACCTGTCTAAACTACTGCGCCTGCCACGAAAAAGTGATGCCAGGTCATACGAAGTGCTGCACCTGTCACGCAAAATCATCTCAGCAAACCTGAAGATCTGAGGCTCCAAAATGCAACCCCTCTCAGGAAATCAGCGCCCGGACCTCCTAACAGCTCTGATGAACATGTCTCTTGTACTGCGCCTGCCACGGAAAATGCATCTTTGCAGATCCTGCTCAAATGTCCCACGCCTGCCATCTTTTTTGGAAATGCTACAAAACCCTCACGTTTTGCTCACTTTTGACAAGGTCCACAATCCCTTGCGCCTGCCACGCGCAACGACATCTGAACGTCCAAAAGTGGTCCGAAGAGATGGTGTTTTGAACATTTTGACTTCGAAATGTGCTTCGCGCCACAACAGCGTGCACTTTTCCCACATCGCAACTCTTAAAAGTGCTCTGAAGCTGAGGTGTCTTGTACATTTTGACTTCGACATGTGCTTCGCGCCACAACGGCGTGCAATTTTTCATCTCTCATCTGGCCAGATGGCTCCGCACCCGCCGCTTTGGCAAGCCTGCTTTTCGACCCTCCGGAGCCACAAATCATTGGAAAAACACAGTGTTTCGCGACTTTCCTACCTTTTCGCGCACCTGGATCTTCTTTCTTCTGACTCTTTCTCTTCTCTGATCTTCTCTCTTCTACTCTTCTCTTCTCTCTGACTCTTCCCGTCTCTGCTTTTCATCTGTCCATATTGTCGGAAGTTTGACTACTAAACTTCCTTCGATAATATTATATGCGATTAAATCTGCCATGAATCTTAATGACCACAAATGGAGTCCACGAGGATGACATACCATTGCTGTGGGACAAAATTCGGGGACCAAGGTATCTGGTAACACTGGGTCTTCCATCCCGGTAGGGGAGGACGCCTCGATATCCTCGATTGCTTCTTGTTCTGGCGCTTCTTCAGTTAAAGACTCCATGGCAGTACTGTGCCGACTGTGCCTCACCGACTCCTGGTCGGAACATGCAGGATGCAAAGGCTTCCAGAGTCAATAACAAAGAAAACAAACGCAATGAGGGAATCAATTTTGGCTAAGGAATGAATGGGTTGTAAACCTTCAATCTCGTTAGTAATCATTGCTTGCAGTGAGCTCGGTTATTTATCATCCAAGATTTGAACATGTTGAGGATGAGCGCACCCAGAGGCAACACAAAAGAAGAGCAACCAACGAACCCGAATGCAGTCACATAAAGCACTTTTGTGAAACAATATTTTCTTCCCCTGTTACCGTACCAGTGTAGACTGTGGAGTGTGGAATGGGGTGGAGTGCATGTGGAGTGTGAAGACAGTGGAGTCTTGAGTGGGGAATGTAGTGTGTATGGTATGAAGTGGGGATTGTGGGGTGTGAAGTGTCGAGTGTAAAGTGTAAAGTGCGCAGCGTAAAGTGTAAAGTGTAGAGTGTCAAATGCAAAGTGTGGAGTGTAAAGTGTAGATAGAGTGTGGAGTGTCAAGTATAAAATGTAAAGTGTGGAGTGTGTCGTGTAAAGTGCATGTAGAGTGTGGAGTGTAAAGTGTAAAGTGTATCGTGTAAACACGTAGAGTGTAGTGTGTAGAGTGTGGAGTGTGAAGTGTAAAGTGTGGAGTGTAAAGTGTAAAGTGTAAAGGTGTATCGTGTAAAAATGTAGAGTGTAGTGTGTAGAGTGTGGAGTGTAAAGTGTAAAGTGCAGAGTGTAGTGTAGAGTGTGGGGTGTCAAGTGTGAAGCGTAAAGTGTACAGTGTAAAGTGTAGAGTGTGGAGTGTAAAGTGTAGAGTTTAGCGTGTAGAGTGTAGAGTGTGGGGTGTAAAGTGCTGAGTGTACAGTGTGAAGTGTACAGCGTAGAGTAGGGGGTGTCAAGTGTAAAGTGCAATGTGCGGAGTGTAAAGTGAACAGCGTGAAGTGTAAAGTTTCGAGTGTGGGGTATAAAGTGGAAAGTGTGGAGTGTAAAGTGTAGAGTGTCAAGTATAAAGTAGTGTGAAGTGTGGAGTGTGGAGTGTAAAGTGTAGAGTGTGGAGTGTGGAGTGTAAAGTGTAAAGTGTGGAGTGTAAAGTGTATAGTGTATAGTGTAAAAATGTAGAGTGTAGTGTGTAGAGTTTGGAGTGTAAAGTGTAAAGTGCAGAGTGTAGTGTAGAGTGTGGGGTGTCAAGTGTGAAGCGTAAAGTGTGCAATGTAAAGTGTAGAGTGTGGAGTGTAAAGTGTGAAGTGTAGAGTTTAGCGTGTAGGGTGTAGAGTGTGGAGTGTAAAGTGCTGAGTGCACAGTGTAAAGTGTACAGTGTAGAGTAGGGGGTGTCAAGTGTAAAGTGCAGAGTGCAGAGTGTAAAGTGTAGAGTGCAAAGTGAACAGCGTGAAGTGTAAAGTTTCGAGTGTGGAGTATAAAGTGGAAAGTGTGGAGTGTCAAGTATAAAGTGTGATGTGTGGAGTGTGGAGTGTAAAGTGTAGAGTGTGGAGTGTGGAGTGTAAAGCGTAAAAGTTTAAAGTGTGGAGTGTAAAGTGTAAAGTGTAGAGTGTCCAGTGTACGATGGACACGTCCAAAGTGCTGCGCCTGACACGAAAAATGCAACTCATCTTCTGAAAACGATGCACAACTGTTATAAGTATTGCGCCTGTCACGCGGAACTACTTTCGACACGCTATGAAACTATGTTGGGATGTCACAAAGTACTGCGCCTGCCACACGAAACGAGGTTACGCGACGTTTCAATCCTCCAAAGGTGACCACTTTTGCAGCACTCCCCATAGGCACGACCATATAGGAACGGTTTCGAACCGTTGCGGACGGTTACGAACAGTTGCGGTCGTGAAAGCGGCATCGAGTGAACACGTCCCAACCCCCAGACCCCCAGAATAAAACGAGAACCTTCGCTACGCATTGGGGAAAAACTACTACAGTGTACTACAGTACTTAACTATATTTGTTGGTATGTCTTATCGGTTGTCCTCCGGGAATTTTGGACATGGTGGAATATAATATGCACAGTTGAATGTGTTGAAAGAAGCACATGGGTCTTGTCTTTATATGACTAATCTTGGGAACCTTGCCCCGTCACACAAAAAGACTGAAAGGTAATCATATATTATACGTAAATATAATTTTCGTCTATATAACAGGCGGATAAAATCTGTACTGTACAACAATGTTTCTTGTCATGAACTTCCGAAAACAGTTGGACAACTATGTGGACGACTATGATCTAGCCATCCCATCCCATGCACATTCTTTTCGACTTACTTACCCTATGGATGTTTAAGATAACGAACAAAAGTTTCATTTATATGAAACATGATAATTGTGGTTTATGTAGTAACCAAAAAAAGATTTGCGGGAGCTACATCAAATTGCCGAAGATAACTCAGCACTTTAATCCCGTAAAAATCCATTCAAATGCCCAAAACATATAACGATGGCTAAATGGTTGAAAGCCGGATTGTAAGACGCATCAATGATCGGCGCCTGAAGGGGAAAAACTCTCTGACCAAGCTCCTCTCCGAACAACAACCTCCACAACGATGCTTTTGCCGTTGGAGCCGTTTTGACCAGCGAAATGAGAGGTCAATAAACATGTGTAAAGATTAGGTATGATTAGGTTACGCCTTCAAATGATGAGATAAACAAAAACTGGGGTTTAATGACTCACAATGTGAGGATTGAGGATATCATTGACAAATCATTGTGATTTTGTGTTATGTCATCCCAACGGCAGCAAACACACGCACACAAATATGGAAAAAAGGTGCTCTGAAGAAAAAGTAGGTGGGTTGCAGAGTCACACCGCACACCCAACTCCGATGCACTACTCCAGCAACCTCAAAAACTGCTAATTACATTCGCTGGGAGAGGGAGGGAATGTGTTGAACAAACATATCACATTTTTCATGGTTTTTGGGCGTTTCAGTTTTGATGACGATCCCAATAAAACTGGGTGATTTCGATCATGATTGGTTAACAGCCGAAAGGGTCAACTTTTTTAGGCGTTTGAAGATCCAGATATGTATATACATGGTTCAGGGGTTGAAAAACTAACTTAGAACTGGCCGGCGGCACCTTGCAAATGGTGGCCAGTGCCACCCCAAGAATGGGACCATATATATATATATATATCTCTCTCTCTCTCTCTCTCTATACCGCCAAAAACCGAGATGAACCCCAAACAGCACGAAACCCGGCATGGAACCTGGATTCTATTTTTGCAGAAGCTGGGGGGTGCACACACACACACCTTTGATTTCAGCAACTGCCCCCATGGTTATACTGGCTTGAACCCCTCACACCCCTTGGGTTACAACCACGTTCATGAAGTCGAATGATGAGTCGCTCATTCTTGTCAAACACACATTAGAAGATATTAGAAGCTGATATACATGAATAATGATAATAGTCACATATATATATATATGTAATACTTTGATTTATAATAGATATATAAATATATATATATATATATTATACAGCTAACTATAACTATATATATATAATACATATAATCATGTATGGTATATCAGCAGTTATGATCACTTGTGGGGGTTACCACCTCATACAAGTAGTTCTTCCCAACCCCAACGGCCCACAACCCAGTTTTCTAAAGGTATCCAAGATGCTTGGAAAAGCTCTTTTTGAGCCTCTCCTGGAAGATGCGCTGGTGAGCTTCAACAAGGGATAACAGCTCCTCCTGCTCCTGATACCACTGGTGGCTGATACGGAACATAGCTCCAGTTTCAATAGCTACTATGGTTTTTACTGGGGAGCACCACCGCACATGCTATTTTTTGCATACCTAAGTTAGGATTTAACTGATTTAATTAGACTTGTCCTGCTCCTGAGCTGCGCGTGTCAGGCTGAAATCGACCATCTGAACTGATATTTTTTGGGACCCTCTAAGTATCTAGAAACATGGGCAATGCTTTGAGGAATTACTTGCCCATTTTCATGGGGTTTTGGAAGGTCTAACTGTTAACTATCTGATTTTCTGTTGCCAGATTACATGCTGAGGGGGTAGCTTAGCTGGGTAGCTGGCACTGAAGCAAAAAAAACATAAGGGATCATCTTCCACCTTGGTATGAATGGAGATGTCTCCGAAAATCTCAATGGTCATCTCCAAGTAAACTGATCATGGTGATCATGTGCTTGGTTCTGTTCCAAATTCTGTGCCTTGATCATCATTGATCATCGGATTGCCTACCTAATCGTATCTATATCTATCCAATCTAACAAACATAATCAGTTCAAACTCAATTCTCCATCTGTTGGTCACTTGTTTAATTTACATACGAATATACGGTTTTGCGGACATGCTGGTGGTTTCAAGCTACCCGCAAACGAGGATAAGGCCGGGATGATCATGCAAATTGAAATAACTGAATTGAACGAATCCTCGAAAATTGAAACATCATTCCCTCCGCCATCAGAAAGCCAATTCCTAATATCTTGGCAACTACTATTCAAAAAAACATAAATGACTCTACAAACCTGCTTTGAAGCAATTTACGGTACCAATCCTTTGCCTTGCCAAAACATTATGGTTTTTGGCTCATCTTTAATATTATGATCTTTGTGAGGCTCCAAATCTCCCATAAGCCTTAGGCATCCTCTGCGGCATCCGGTGGCCACCATCCCCGGTCCTTGGCCATGCGACCCATCATTTCCGCAGTGTACTCCGGCGCCATTGCGCTGAAGAATAGTTCAGCCGGACAAACCCAAAACGGTTGGCAAAAAAACACAGATGTTTATCAACTTGCGACCACATATTTGGTTGAACATCAGCAGAAAATGCATCATTGTGGCAATGGATAGTGGGAAGTACCTAGAGCCAGTACAGGCCAAAATTGGAACGGCCCAAGATACTTCGCAGCTGATTTTGAGAATCGCGAGCCAAAGAGCTCTATAAATGGGCCATTTCCCATGGCTATGTTAAATAGCCAGAGGTTACATACTTTAGCAAGTTTTGGTGGTATTTAGAGGGTTCAGCCATCCAAGCCACTGCTGGAAACCGAAACTGCGGACCCAGGATGACACAGGGCTGGCAAACTTTCAATCGTTGGACCTGTTTTTGTAACCTAAACTGTTGGGTTACTGGGACAGACTGGGACAGACATCTACGTATACATTTATATATCTCTTTGTGTGCACAGCTAATATATTCATAGTTGCATATGTAATTACATTTAAATTTTATTATATATATATATATATATACATATATTGCAATTCATAATTATAACCGGTGTATATATATATATATATACACAGTATTTCACATAGTTTAAACCACCAGCAAATTTCCCAATCCTAATGTCAAGTTCAAACGCAGAAAGCTCACTTGCCAGCGATTTAAAACATGTTGAAAAGGGCAATGCTGGTTGCTGACTTCAATACCCCAAAGCCCAGTGGTTGACCGGTATTTTCCCCATTCAAGTTGCCACTTTTGCCACCACCAAACAGCCAAGTCTGTGCGTTGATGTTATGGGTAGTATAACCATTGGGATTGCAAAAGTTGGGATATGGGGCCCCTATAACTATCGCTATTAAGTAAAGGCCTCATTTATGGCGACTTGCAGTGTTTGGAACCGGGCCCAATTAGTGTTACATTCTGTGCGGCCTCAAACTTGTGTGGAGCAGCCACTAGTGGCTGTGGTTTTGGTTTCTGCTCTGAAGCCCCTAGAAACTCATTACATAGCTGCATGCCAACTCGGAATGACCCTAGACACCCACAACCCAAGCAGGGAAGCAAATCGCACGCCTCGGATTGCCATGTTGGCCTGGGTCTTCGTCAGTCATGCGAATGGCATCCACGTGAGGGAGATGTAATTCGCTGAATCTCACCGTGATCAGTTGGTTATCTGGGCAACTTGCAAACGTGATTTGAAGCTGTTTCTCACCGATCAGATCGCAGCTCCTTCAGCACCTTGATCACCGACTTACAATTCGGGTGGAAACATCGAACACAACCAGACCATACCAAACCATACCAGACCATGCTGCTTTTTTCCTCCAAGCGATCAGGCAGGCATAATTACCAATCCTTCTGCCTGCATTTCGCAGGATTTCCCTTGTCGCCCCCAGTACGGAAGAGGACCATCTTGCCCTTGGAACCATCCTTCAGGACTTCAGGGTACAAACACTTAGCGAAACAAAGCCACAAATCAGAAACTGTTTGGTACTACGCTGCAATTTTACCCGGACCAATAGGGACTTAACCAAACAATGAACTGAACCATTTATCCTAGTTGCCTTGCCTTTTTTGTGCTAGTTCAACGGGTCGGATGGCGGAATGATTTTCACTTCTGCTTCAGCATGTTACGTTCCAACCCGAGGCCGTCCTTGTAAGTCACGCGGCAGGTCTCCTTGCACACATAGTCTCCTGGACAAAAAGTTGGGTCATTTGTGCGCTTTGAGATTTGCGTTTCTCAATGATCGCAAGCCAATTGGCATTCATTGGCACGCCCTTAACTTACGTAATCTTACACGCAGAAACATGTCGAAATCCATTTCAATTCCACTAATTACCCTCATTCACAAATCGTGATGCACAAATGGTGCATAATTTTCCGAATCGATGTAACTTTACGTATGCATTTGTAGTTCTATTCGCTGTAATTATTCCATGTTTTTTTCCCAAAGGAGCGGGCCGGTTTCCACAGCTAAGAACATGGATGCCGACTGGGCTGAGACCTCTCGGTTGAAGAGAAGTTCCAACCCGCGCACTGAACCTTACTCACCATCTATAGACTATAGATTTATAATGATTTATAGCTATACGTAGGTTCACACGCTCCCACATTGAAATTGTCAACAACTGGTACGGTTCCCTCCTGCTTTCAACTTCTTGCTGATGTCCGGCGGTTTCATGAGGACCTTCTGATAACCTCGCTGGCCTGTGACGTGCTTCATTTCGTAGTATTCGTGCTCCTCAACGATGCAGCTATGCATCTTCAAGAACTGCAAGATGGAGCCGACATCCTGGTGAAGGCCATTGCACCGCGGGGTGCAGCACTTGCCCCAAAGCCAACATCCTTCCTTTGCATCTTTCGCATCTTTCGCTTCCTTTACCACGTCTGCCACGTCTGCCGCTTCATCTTCAGCCACCTCGGAACGGGCGGAGTGAACCATTCCGGGCATGGACAGGAGCAAGGCCAGGGCCTGGAGAAACGTCATGGACATGACGAGATGAGCGCAGCAAACAACGACTAAAATTGACTAAAACATCCAACAAAGCCTTGGACCACAACGACTGCGGAGAGATAAAATCAAAGTTTATTACAAAACAAGAACCACGTGGACTGTCGTAGTCCATTTGGATCGATCAAACGAGTTGAGAAACCATGCGAAAACAAACATGACATCGCGTTTTCACCATCTCTCACCATCTCAAAGAGACATGGCAATACATCCGCCATGGAATATGAAAATGCACACACACACACACATATATATATATATATTCTCCATATTTGATCATATTTGTATATCATATATCAATGACAGTTTCATCCCCGTTAAACCACCGACTCGACGACCAGCGAAATTTTGGCCCACCAAGGCGGCCACATGGCCACATGGCGTAATCATCACTGGGTCCGTGGGATAGTGGATAATTATATGATCCTTAAGTGGATATCATTGATAACTAGTGGATTAAAAAAACAAACAAACAATATCCAAATTACATCACTGTAAGATGACTTATATAGTTTTAAAAATATCTAATCCTTACTAATCTTATGGGATAATTCTGGGAATATCACGTTCTTTAAGCTGGTTTCGTAGATTTAACATGATTTCACCATCAACAAAATTGGACATCATTGGGAATATAATTGGATTACATGGGCTATCCCAAACCTCTGAGGGATCATCATTCTCTCTGTTTCCGGACCATATGTTTCTGGGCCAACACAATGGTTTTCGGATATGACTCGAATTGAATGAAATTGAAATCATAGAATAGAATATAGTAGAATGCTTACCATATGAACTGCGCTTTTTCGAACAGCCCAAGGACGTTGATTAATCCGGGGCTGATTCCATTGCTATGGATGTCTTGACTGTAGCATGCCGGCAAGCCGTTCAGCCAGAATGGCTACAGTCCTGGTGAGGTTGTGATGGTGATCTTTGACATTCTTGGTGGTGGTTACGTCCCTCGCAATGAACCCCCAAGTTTTTAGCTGATCTTGGCAGCACTTATCTCCCCTTCATCTTCCAAGGTCCCCCAGCGAGCATCACATGCTTATGGGGGCGGCCAGGGCTGACAAATTGGCTGATCATCACCATGAGTTAGTAGATGTGCTAACTTTTGAACCAACTATACTCATTAAACCATATTAAACCAACTTAGTTATATAAACAGTCAGTTAAAACTTGGTTTTACGATGTTACTTCCAACCAACTTATCATGTAAGCAACTCCATGGCCAATATAAGCTGCTGGTATGATGACATCACTGGTGCTTAACGCTGTGGCGATGTGAGACCACAATCATCCTGAGAAATACGGTACCATGTATAAGGTACATAGTCAACTTGCCCGGCCAATGTCAACCATATCCAGTTTTTGGAATATGTTTATCTTATTTTGCTAAGATGTTGGATCCAATTTCGAAAATTGTGCCCGCAGAAAATGCACTCAACAAAGGCACGTCTTGCGATTTCTCAGCGTTGTCCAGTGTCTCAAAATTTTGGCTCATATCCATATGATACCTGTTCATATATATATAAATATATTATTCTTATTTATTTATCATTATCAGGTATAATATAACTTAATTAATATATATATATATATATTTACACAATTATTTACAAATATAATTATATATATATAAATATATAATAAACATAATTTAAAATAATATGATATAAAATAATGTATATATAAATGATTAAATGTATATTGTTTGAGATATTTGCATTTTGCTGTCGATTGTCTAACCTAACAATCACAAGTCCCTCACTATCCAACATATCGGTTATGTTGTGAGATCACCACGAGTACTTCAACGTGTGCAGACACATATTCTCAATGTAATACACACAAAATGGTACCCTCCAGTAATTTGACGCTATTGAACATGGCCCTTTATAGTCGCTTTACCTATTGTAAATGGTGAATTTGCATAGCTGTGGTAGTTTACCAAACAAAGGGTTTCTCATTTAATGCATGCCGTCCTGTCCCATCTTTTCCGTGGCAAGGTGAACGGAAGATCTCAGGCCGCAAACGATTAAAACAAAATCATGGCGCATACAAGATGGTGCCCGAAGTGTCTGGGAAAACGATAGAAAAACAAATTTATGATGTTCAACAATAATTTTCCAACGGAGAACAATAAGGGTCAAAATCCAACATCCCATTCGCGAAGATTTTCAATCCATCCATCCAGGGAGATATTTTTAGCCGTGGAATCACCTGCAGGAAACAAGAAATGGACAACGCCGTCTTTCAAGTGGTTTAACGATCCTTTATGGTGGGTTCTTAGGTAGCTCACCCAAATTGAGATCATTGCTCTGTTTGTAACTCTAAACCGCTCCCTGACAAACGGGATATACATGTATATATATATATATAGGATACTTAGGGAATTACAATGGATGTTTCACAACGTAACTGATGCAGTCAGGATCTCAATACAGGATCTCAATATTCAACTATTAATTAAATATATATATATATATATCATTATATATCGATATTGTAAAGAATATTAAAATGCAAGAAAGCACCTATTATGATATTTTTTGATATATGTGTGCACATATTTGGATATGATATATTCATACACATTCCAGTGGTAGGACATCGCAGTCTTTTCACTGCTTCAGCCTTCGAGCTGCCTCAGCGTCGGGTTTTCAATGGTTTTCTGGGAAGATCCAACCGATGTGTTTGGGTATCATCTTGAAACAATTCCAACTCTGGGAACCACCTGCACCCGACATAAAACATTCGAATCTCGCAAGATCCTCCAATGATGTCCCTGGGTCTTCCTGTATCTAAGCAGGGCTACTATGACCATCAACTTCAATCCAAATCATTCAAATCATTGGAGAAATGTGTTGGACTGTTGGACAATTACTTCAGGGGGACGCTATGGGACGGTTGGAAACAGTCAAAAATAATCAAAATAATATAGATCACCTGCAATCAATCAGTAACCCGTCTACCAGGTCTACCACGCCACTCTCACGTGCCTTCCCGAACTCAGCAATTCCAATCATGGGTGCTGCAGCACCTTTTTTCGTGCATGCATTGGTCCACAAAATGCGATGCCATTGCGATGCCAGTTTGTGGCAGCACAACACGGCCATCAAAAATTTGGGCATTCCTCAAATGGACTCGAGAGTCATGATGCCTTGATCCTGGAGGTCTCCACCATTCTCAAACCACATGTGGTTTCGGCCAAACTCCTTCCTACTAAGCAGGGCCTGTCAGGAAATGATCCTTCAACCAGAGGTTCATGATACACATGTTCATGGAAATTCGGGGAGTCAAGGGAGCCAAGGAACGATGATTCCAGTTTTCGTCTTGACAAGCTGGATGCCTCATATCCCGATTTATGTTGCAGTAACAATTATAAAACCATCACCATCACCAATCCATCAATGGTAACAACATATAAGCCAATCCCCTAAATGCTAAGTTTATTACTCCATATTGCTCCCTTCCTAATAGATATACCCCCTATAATAGACACTTATAATATATAGATCCCTATGATCCCATGTGATTATTTCGCGAGGTGTTTCCCATGGTTTCCCCACATTCCATGGCCGTCCGTCCTCCTACGCCACGGGCAGCTCCTGGGAGTCCTCAGAGTCCTCGTCCTCGCCAGGGCTCTCCGGGCCCAGCGGGGCCGTGGACTGCGCAGGGTCCACTGGCAGGTCGTGGATGGCGGTGTCCGCCAGGCCATCGGGGAAGAGGTCGTCCAGGCTATCGTCGTTGGCCACTTCCTGGACATTTTCACTGGTGGGATGGATGAAATGAATGAAATGGATGAAACTGAAATTTCGAGGGGATTTCAGCATTTATGGCGATTGAACGTGGTGTGATTATAATGATAGGATGGTAAGCATCAAAGTTTGGAGGTTCTTGGGATTCAAATTGGAGGATCATGGGAAAAATCAAAGGTTGATGATGTTTTCTGGAGTCAACCATCAACAACCAGCAACCAGGAAAAAAACATGTTTGGATGCCCCATCAAGTATTTGTTTGGGACGCAATCATGAACAACCAAGGGGATTGTTTGATAAAAACTAACTGATGGAGAATCATAGTGGGAATTAGCCATCAACTATGCAGATTATGTAATTCATTCACCCGCTATGGGCCATGATTTGTTGGCCAACTGGTGATCTCAATACCCAAACATACTCGGTAGCAGTAAACTTTAACTCCATCGCCCAAGGTTATGATGAAACACAACCAGGCCGCTGGTCGTTTCTGGACTCTGTATCTAACAAAACAAATCATTGCCGGAACTAAGGAGCAAAGAGATAGACCTTAACTTGGAACTTCTTAGACGGGCTATATACTGAGCTAAAACATCTGCTATAACCCAGTTACTTGCCACTGATCCCTGTACCTGTTGTTTAAGCGAAAAATGACAGGACACATGGCATTCCAAGAGTTGATGGTAAACAACCGCAGGTTCAACCGTAGAATTTCCTTGAACCAATACATTGATCATCAGTTAAGTGATTAAATCATATGAAATCATACCTCATCTTGAAAATTTAAACCCCCAGTCTTGAACCATGTTGATTCTTGAATCGCATTTTTTCCCGCTCGATTGTAGGCAGTTCAGCTGAGTTGGTTCATTATGGTGGCGGACCACCAAGTAGAATCAAATCACGGTGCAAACATCAGCCGTTCATCGCATCCCCCGGTCATTTAAAAAAAACAAGAAATCATAGAAACCACATATGGGGACCCATTTACAGTTAGGGTGTGTTTAGAATTAGGGGGATGGGATAGAACTATATAAATCTGGTGAAAACATCATGTTCGATGGTTTTGAATTTGCTTAAGATTTCCCCAAGAGAAATAACGCATATTCCCTATAGATTACTGATGTCTAGTGGATTTCCCACTGGAAAATCAAGACTCGCCGACTAAACACACCCAAATGAACCATTAACAACACCCCTGTCCCATCTCATGAAATACTACATGCTAGGTGTCACAATGATCTACAATGGCTTCGGCTTAGTCCATCAATCCCAATCTCCTGAAGGGGATGTTGTTCATTGGTTCATGATTCATCATCCTAATTAATGATGTTTCCTGTGATGTTCCCATGAAACTTATTAATGATTCCCATTGGTTCAATGATATTCCCTATTAATTGTCCATTAATTATCAAAGCTCATTTCATTGATATTCCCATGGTATTCCCCAAGTTTTCCGCTCCTCTTCGGCTTCCTGTGTGGCCGTGTGGTTCTCCGCTGTGAGTCGCTGGTCGCTGATTGGCTCATACTTCACGCCTGGCTTATACCTCGGCGAACCCCGGAAGCGTGGCACCATGGAAGCCACTGGGGATATGATGGGAGTTCTTTGAAACTCATGTATAGTATCTCATCAAAAACAACATATCACATGTGTATATATATATATATATTATGTGCATTTATTAAAACTGTTATAGTTAGAATTTCAAAAAAATGAAAATATACATATATATCATATATATATATATATATATATCCATGCAAGCTATATATATATATATATATCTACACATGTTCAATATAATTACCTAGAGCCTCCGAATACCCAAAAAAGGCGTAAAAGTATTCAAATCATTGAGGGTAGTTGGAGGGTCCAGGTATCCAGCTATGGACCCAAATGCTACCTGGAAAGGTACTTAACCCCCTAAATCAGCCCCCAAATGCTTCCTCAAAAGGTACGGCTGGATCCATATGGCTGATTAATCATCAGGGGATCATGGGGTCACATGTTGATCCATGTGGGCTGTTGGAGATAGGCTTCTGCTGGTTAACTACAAAAACTTGTGGATCTATGGTGGGTTTAAGCCCCAAAACGGAGAGCTGCTTACGTCCAAAAGGGGTAACCGGGTAACCATCAGCCACAATTGTTTATTTCATGCGTGGTTGATTTCATGGATCCGAAAATAACATGATTTAGGGCTACCCCCGCAGGAAACCTGTCTCAAAGTTGTAACCAAGGTATAGCCTCAAAGTGTATGCATAGGGGACCCTTCCTGTAGAAACAGTTTCTACATATGAATTTCATTTTGATTATAAATGATTAATTATGATGTTTGATGCAACATATCATTAACATCTACATTTCACAATTTCTACGGATCGCACAAACATGATCTTCCCACTACCCATCGCCCACGGATAAAAATGCCGCTGAAACACTTGGTGCCATCGTAGTACGTGATGTTGCCCGGGAGGCACCAGGCGCCTTTGCCAAGATTCATCTACGTGCTTTGATCGAAAATCTTAAGTACGGTTGACACAACAGTACTTGCCTTGTTTTTCGAAATTATTGTTGGTTTAAACGTGTCTAAATCATTCCAGAACTACAACTTTCGTGGTTGAACCATGCTAATCGACATTTATTTGATAGTTAATTTCTCTAATCTATGGTTAGATTCTGACCGAAGAGATGCCATAGAATGCCAAGAAGTTTATATCCAGCCGTTGTGCTGCAGCCAGAAAAGATGCCAATTGCCTTCAAGTTCGTAACATGCCGTGTGGGAGGTTCATCAGTCCAACAGATTTTCTTCATCAGCACCCGTGATGCCCTAAAAGGTGTCCTGCCAGTGCATGTGCTAAGCGAGAGCCTCCTTTGTGCCAATTTCCTGTCGGTACCTTGCATCATTGTGTGGAATGCCTTGCATGTGATTTTCATGTGTATCCTGTATCCGTTACCAGATTTCCAAGCTGTCCGCTTCAGCGACGTTTGGCCGGGCCTTCGTAAGACACTAAGAATAGCGGCGGTATGATCATTGAATATCATTGAGTTATTTCAGAATGAGTGCCCATCTTCAGATGGAGCGGAATCTTGTAAACTGCATTAACTTCTGGTGACTTCAGGGGTTTCTTCGGAATTATGTGATGGCAATGGGTGAAGCCGACTTGGTCAAAACAGTTGTCTTCATCATACACTATACTACTCCAAGCTACAGTTCGGGGCCTTTACCAGTTATAAGTACTAAGTCGGCACATTTATGACATGTAGAATCCCATTTATGACATGTGATTTCACCATTTATAACTGGTAAACCATTGAATTCCTGTCGTTGCACCGTATCCCAACGGCTCCGGGCACCTTTGCAGTTGCTGCAGTGCTTCTCGTTGAGGGCGCAGAAATCCCAACGCTCCGCAATGCCTGGGCCGGGGGGCCAGGAAGGTGCATCCACCTGGTGTGCCGGTGTGGCCCCCTACTGTAGGTGCCGGAATTATAGAACGGAAGTTGAGGAGTACGAAGGTACGGTTATTTACCGTACCCTGTTGTTCTATAATTCTGTTTTCCTCGGAAGGTGTGAAAAAAAAAGTATCTGAATTTACTCCTATTCGTCGTTCTATAGTTCTTGTCGGAGCGCTGCTGTTCTATAATTCTGTTTTCCCCCATTTTTCCCACATTTCCCATTTTCGTTCTATAATTAATGTTTCCCGGGCCCCGTTCTATCATTAATTTTTCCGTCGAACGGAAAAAATCATTATAGAACGGAAAAATTAATTGTAGAATTATAGAACCTCTTCCGGGGTCCCAGAAATCCTATAAAATCACCATGAAATCTAAGAAAATCACCGTGAATTCCCATAAAATTACCATGAAATCCCATAAAATCACCATGAAATCTTATAAAATCACCATGAAATCTAAGAGAATCACCTGGTAAATGTGGGAAAAATGGGGGAAAACAGAATTATAGAACGGAAGTTGAGGAGTACGAAGGTACGGTTATTTACCGTACCCTGTTGTTCTATAATTCTGTTTTCCTCGGAAGGTGTGAAAAAAAAGTATCTGAATTTACTCCTATTCGTCGTTCTATATAATTCTTGTCGGAGCGCTGTTGTTCTATAATTCTGTTTTCCCCCATTTTTCCCACATTTCCCCTTATCCTCATGTTATCCTCATTTTATCCTCGTTATCTCATCAAATCCTCATTTTATCATCATTTTATCTTCATTTCCTTATCAAATCCTAATTAAATCCTCATTAAATCTTCATTTTATCCTCATTTCCTCATCAAACCCCCATTACATCCTAATTTTATCCTCATTTTATCCGCGTTATATTATCATTTCCTCATCAAATCCTCATTTTATCTTCATTTTATCCTCGTTTCCTCATCAAATCGTCATTTTATCTGCATTTTATCTTCATTTCCTCATCAAATCCTCATTAAATCTTCATTTTCTAGATTGTATATGTACAAATATGCAGTAAATATCATGTCAGTGCCAGAAATTATAGATCGGAGCCAGGAGTAATTTGATTATAGAACGGGGAAATTTAATTATAGAACGGATCCCCGTTCTATAATTAAATTTCCCGACTCCGCGCGGAATCGGAACCCGGAGGAGTACAAAGGTACGGTATTTTACCGTACTTTTGTACTCCTGGCTCCGTTCTATAATTCTGGCACCCGCTGTAGTTTTAAGTGGGTTTAGAAACCCCATTAACTTTTATATATAGTTACAGTATGTGTATATATATATATATTATACATATATATATATATATATATCTAATTATATTATATATATACATATATAAATATAATTGTATTATATATATATATTATACATACATATATATATATATACAATTGTATTATATATATATATCCACCACAAACCCGAAGGTTAATCAAATGATAAACCAAGTTGGCCATTCAAGGGTCCAAACGTTGTAAGACTAAATTCGAAACCATTTTTGTTTGGCCTTCCATCTCAGTGTCCAGGGAAACACTAGGATCACAAGCAACAGCTTGCAATGAGGAGCCTTAATAATTTCAACCCTTCACTGACACTGACTTCGACTTCGCCTGGTTCAAGCCTGAACAAATCAACTGCATCCAATGATTTGACGATAGCAATAGCTTCACTGCCTTCACTGCAAACTCCTTTAAGCATTGGAATCACATCTTTGGGGATTCACAATCCCCTACAAGTCTACAAAGCTATACATTATACAATGGCAAACCCAATTTCATACAACTATGATCTTTACCATTTATAAGTACTAAGTCAACCCATTTATGTAAAGAATCCCAAAGAAATAACCAGTTATTTCACCATTTATACTTGCTGTTTCCGGCCATAAACCATCGTCATGGCTTTACCAAGCTGCCAGTAATGGGCTCGGCAGATTTGCATGGATCCTCTGGGTCCTTAAAGGCCTTCACCTTGGAATCGGGCGAATCCGCATTGGGGTGAACAGTTGTGGGGCTTGATCTTTTGGCGAATGGGAACAAACGAATATACACACAATGACAAACAGCACTCATATAATGAACCATAAATCTAAACAACAACAATAACAACAGCAACAACAACAACAATAACAACAGCAGCACCAACAACAACAACCACAACAACAAATATAAATAGAACAAATATAAATAGAACAAATATAAATAGAACAATCTATTATGTTTGTTTTTGCATAGAACAAAAATATACATATAATAAATATATATATATATGTACATATATACATGTGTGTGTGTGGTCATTGCGTTTAACAAATGGCAGTTCACGTGACTGACATGGGCATGCTGATGGGCAACCACGTCTCCACGGGGCGAACTCCCAAAGGGTGCAGAAATCTATGGCATCTGGTTTCGGTTCCATGCCAACGATGCCAACCATGCCAACCATGTCTCACCCAAAAATATTCAAATCAGTTATCATGAGTGTCGAGCACTCAACCATGTAGTTTTGGGGTACTGCGAAGCCGTCATACCCATCTGTCAGTCAGCTATCATCCAGCATGTTCACTCTAAACGGCCCAACAACAGAATGCCAAGCTGGGACTGATGTCCCCCAGTTGATCAATATTAGATGTCCCCAATATAGTGATAAGTCTGCATCGCTGTTTGGTAACCCTCCATATTGATAAACCGGCCGGCTCCATAAACCGTCCCCAAGTGCAGCTTCATGGCATTGGCTTTTCCACGCTACCTCTATCCCATCGTCAGACCATGGTGCATATCATAAATATGCATACACACGCATGTTTTGTGGCAATCATGATGCAAACAACTAATCATTATGTATATATATACATATAAATATACCCGCGTGTATCATGTACAAAAGTAGAGTAATAAAAAGCAATGCATGTGTATATATGTACGTATAACATGTTTAAAATACCAGCATATATCAGCTATCATGAAGGGCTTTGGCTTCTCACCCCGCCAGGCCACACACTTAGGTCCCGCCGCAGGGCACCAGGTGCCACCGCAGCCACTGCAGCGGCTCTTGACTGAGCAGGTCGTGTCTTTGGCGATGTCCGCGCAGGTGCCGGGTGTCGTTCTGGAAACGGGGCCGCCACGGGGTCATGGGGAGAGTTTCTATCTGAGGTTCGATGGAATTGGAACCTAATCATATATTGTGTAGCGCATACTTATGTGTATATAACTTATAGGGATATATATATATATATAGTATCTAGCTACCAGTTTCCAGCCAAATAATAATCCCAGGTGGTAAGTTGGACGCATGAATATAATCTGACCGCCCACTTCTACCTGGGAGAACGCAGACGGAACTCACGTCATGGCCTAATTTCAACCCAACGACTAAGTGGAATGGTCATGACAATGGGGGGGAGAGAATTCAACTGAACGTGTTGCTGGCAGTAGACAAATGGTTGATCGGTTGAATATGAGAAATAATTAGCACAAATTCCATGGCAATGTTTTTCCCATAAACGCTGTCACTATTCAGTGAGCCAACCACACATGGCCAGTCGAAGTACAAAAGAAGAGACGGATGAAATGATTGCAACATGTTGTAACGAATAGGGAGGATTTCTACTACGATGATCCCAGCTTCAGTTGTGACTACAACCTACATATCATCTTTCTGACATAGTTTCTGACATATCATCTGCAAATTTAAATGGTATAATCTTCTGACATTCTATTCTGACCTTTCATCTGGCATTCTACCTGACATTCTATTTGGCCTTTGTTCTGGCATTCTATCTGACATATATTCTGACAATCTATCTGGCATATATTATTCCTACATTTTATTTTGCATTGTATCTCACACTCTATTTGGCATCTTTTCTGGCATTCTTTCTGGCACATTCTGGTCAGTTCGGGTCCATGCTTGCCCAGCTGCATCCGGAGCTGGCGATAGGGTTCGGGCCCGTGCTTGCTGGCCAGCTGGAGCTTTCAATGAGTTTCTGGCACGTGCTGAGCTCCGGGTCCATTGGTGCGAGGGGGAGGAGGAGGAGTTGCACCTTTCTTAAAATCTAGAGACCCTCGCCTGGCAGGTGCAAAGCAATGTAACAAAACAGTAAGTGACGTTAGCAGAAAGGTCCTGCCCAACATGGGAATTTGAGCATTGTTATTTTAGCGCCTTAATTTTGGATCCCTACTGCCTACTGTATATCAACGGCTGAGTTGGGCCACCGTGGAGACTGCACATGATGATTCACCAGTTGCGATACCAGTGACTCATTCCCAAGTCGATGGTAGTTGGGTTGGAACCTTTCTACCTGGAACCTGTAATTCATCTAGGTTTTGTTGGTTTAACCTCTAAAATACCTACAATACGCATTTATATGCACGGACCCAATGCGGCAGGTCTACGGCAGGCTTACAATGCTTGCAACATTCCCATTCTCCCTTGACTTGAATGCAAAACCAAATGGTGTTTTTAGAAAACCATAAGATCCACCTCCCCAATTTTACCATCAATGGGCTGTAACACAACAAAATACGGGTGGTTTTTTGATTGCTTTACTACAATTATGGCAAGACCATCTCAAAAACACTGAGACAGACCAACGAAATCTGGTTGACATGTTCCCTGCACGAAAAAGAAACACTAAATTATGAATCATAGAAGCATCCAATATTGCCGGTTATGCCCCCAGGATCCTAAATGGTTTTTCCCTAATTTTAAATAACATAAAGGGCCAAAAGTTAAAGGCTGTAAAACTTGATCTTCAACATGTTTGATGGTTACAACCCGGTTTTAGTAAAATCAAAAAACACAAATTACTTTACTTCGAGCTATCCCCACCATGACATGTATACGTTTTGTTACTGGCAAATCTTCTGGCATTCTATCTGACATACTGGCATTTTATCTGGCACATCTTCTGGCATTCTATCTGGCATATCTTCTGGCATTCTACCTGGCATATCTTCTGCAATATGTTCTGGCATATCTTCTGGCACTCTATCTGGCATATCTTCTGACATTCTATCTGGCATTCTATCTGGCAAATCTTCGGGCATTCTATCTGGAAAACATTCTGGCACTTTATCTGGCATACCTTCTGGCATTCTATCTGACATTCTGTCTGGCATACCTTCTGGCAATATATCTGGCATATCTTCTGGCATATCTTCTGGCATTTTATCTGGCATATCTTCTGGCATTCTATCTGGCATATCTTATGGCATTCTACCTGGCATATCTTCTGACATATGTTCTGGCATATCTTCTGGCACTCTATCTGGCATATCTTCTGGCATATCTTCTGGCATATCTTCTGACATTCTATCTGGCATTCTATCTGGCATATCTTCTGGCATATCTTCTGGCATATCTTCTGACATTCTATCTGGCATTCTATCTGGCAAATCTTCTGCCTTTTATCTGGCAAACATCTTGCACTTTATCTGGCATACCTTCTGGCATTCTATCTGACATTCTATCTGGCATATCTCATGGCATTTTATCTGGCATATCTTCTGGCATTCTATCTGACATATCTTCTGCAATATGTTCTGGCATATCTTCTGGCACTCTATCTGGCATTCTATCTGGCATATCTTCTGGCATATTATCTGGCAAATCTTCTGGCATTCTATCTGGCATTATATCTGGCATATCTTCTGGCATTCTATCTGGCCGTTGAGGTCCAGCGGTGCACACTGAGCTGGGACGGTCCCCGGTTGAGGTCCAGCGGTGCACACTGAGCTGGGCAGGTCCCCGGTTGAGGTCCAGCGGTGCACACTGCGCTGGGCAGCTCCCAGGTTGAGGTCCAGCGGTGCACACTGAGCTGGGCAGCTCGCAGGTTGAGGTCCAGCAGTGCGCACTGAGCTGGGCAGCTCGCAGGTTGACGTCCAGCAGCGCGCACTGAGCTAGGAAGTTGGCGAAGAGCTTGGCGACGAGTTGGCAAGGTTGGCAAGGCGGAAGTGGAGGTGGAAGAGGCGGAGGCGAGGAGGAGGGCGAGGAGGACAGCTAGTCGAGGAGGAGGAGGAGGCGGAGGAGGAGGAAGTGGCGGGCATGCGCTCTGATAAAATCTAACAACCCTCACCTGGCAGGTGGGGAATTAAGAAAAACACATTAGAACCCGTTAAATGAAACTCTTCTTAGCCATAGTCCACCACGTTCCCAGCCATGGCGCCCAGCCGGTCCCACTTTTGCCCGTCCTTTTCTTCCCCACGGTAGCAGCAAATGCCATCGAATTCCTCACAAAGATGGGACGGCGAGGTGTACAATGTGTGGTGGCCCCTGGGTAAGCAGGTTTTTCGCTATTGAATCATAATCATCATCGCACACTCGCACACACACACATAAATTATACACACACACACAAAAATCGTATTTATATATTATATATATATATATGTGTGTGTGTGTTTTTCATCATACATAATTTTCATGAATTTTGAGGGAACTTTAATGATGGGGTTTTCATTCCCTTACTACTTCCGTACGAAACCGCAATCGTGTGGTAACTATTGGATCAAGGTAGCAAAAGGAGCGACAACTGAATTATGGAAACACTAGAAATCACCACCTCAAGGTGAACAACTCAAAGGCCAACTATGGCATTCTGTTTTGACTCTGAAATGCCCGCCCTCAGGTCAGCGATCCATGTATGGTCATGTCATGAACTGGATGACTCACTCCTGCAATGGATATTCATGGTTAGGTGTCAAAGCAATGTGATCAGTAAGCTCATCCCCCTTATTCCTGAGTTCATCCAGCTCAATCCATGGCCACCTATTGGCCTTTTGCCAATTTCCGTACTTCGCCAATGAACCATTCCTCGCACTTTTGAAGTGAACTTTCCAACTCTTGCTTCCGAAGTTTCTTTCCAGGATTGTGAATGTATCATCGTGGACCAACCGCCAAGTCTGTCCTTGCAACAGAAACTGCAGAAACATCTTTTGCTCATTGGATTTTGTCAAGCAATCTGCTAGCTGAGCAAGACCATTCACCCAGCGAAATGCTGTGGACACTTTCACGGCCTGCTGCACTGAGAGCGTCAGCTCATAGCCTGAACGACTTGACCTCAATCCATGAAGAGATGAAATGTTCCTTGACATCGCATCGAAAATTCCCCTGGAGTCCATCACAATGGCGCCTTGAACAGCGTCTCGAACCTGCTCATACAAGGTGGCACGTCGCAACTGCACTCCATGCAATTCTGCCCACATTGCACGAACTTTGACAATGATGTCTTCACCTTCCGTGATGGCCTGAACTTCTGCTCCATTGCTGCCCAAACATTGACGTGGCGTCTTGCCACTCTTCCAGTTTAAAATGGCATCAACATGGGGCTCCCCTTGCAGAAAACCAGCTGGTGCAATTCCAGTGATATGACCTAAAGTCGAAGATTTGTCTGGCCTGTTCTTCTCACCTGCATCGCACCAAGTCACGATGGCCATCTTGTGCCATTCAACTCCCCTGGCAGGGAATAGGAGGCTTTGGCTGGCTTCTCTCTTAACCTCCCTTATTAACTTATTTACTTTAACTATGGTACTTATCGTGGCATGTGGTACCTCTGAAAGCAACAAGCAAGTCTCCGCCTGGAAATGTGGTCCTGTCTGTGCTGACTTCCAAGACAGTGAACCGATGGCACCTCGGAGCATGGAAATTTCTCGGGGTGTCAAGGCTGAACTGGTTTGTGTCATGCGGTCTTTGGGAAGTTGGGTCTCGTCGACCCATTTGGTTACATAGTCTTCTTGGTCAATTCGTATGGAACTGTCTGGCAACTGGGTGATATGACATCCGGCAAACTCAAACTGGTCAGACTGCCACTTTACCCCAATTGTATGTGGCATATCGGGGGTGCTCTTCGATGTCACCTACCAGAAAATCATCAACATGAAGACCTGCAATTCCAATGATCAGACCAAACGTAAGGCTATTGGGTTCTTCATCAAAAAGTACAAACAGGCATCTGTCAGCTAAAATTCATTTCCAACCCTGGCGCTTCATCTTGGACGAAACATCATTATACCAATATCTTGGAGACTGGACAAGACCGTAAAAGGCTTTGGATATGCGAAGAGGCATGACTGGATTCTCAGGGTTGGCACCGAATGCAACAGCTAACTCAGCTGGCGCCCAAACAGTGAGGTCTAAGTCCTCAAGGCTCTCGGACGTCTGCAGAAAAGCGGCTGTGACATCACCTGCACGCAGCTTGAACCTTTTGTTGGCACATATGGTCAAAAGATGTCAAAAGGAGATTCCGAGACACACGGGCCATGGTTGGCACGGCCGTCTGGACTTCTCCAATGCCTGCCATCTGAAACCCTAGCACTACTAACCGAGCTTTGGTACTGCCATCATTCTTGGTCGTCAAGACCCACCGCATGGACATGACTTTGGGATAGTCTAGGTTATCCCATTCTTGGGATGTCAGGGAACGCAAGGCACGGGAACTAAGGACATTACTCAATTCTTTGGCTTGTGAGATGTCGTAGTTCTTCTTCTGATCCATGGACAACTGGCTCCACCTGGCCTCTTTTCCTTTCTCTTGCATCTTCCGGGACAACCATATGGCAGACTTTTCAGGATTGGCATTCAGGAAATTGAGATCGCTTGGAGTGATTGAGACTTCAAAGGCATAAAATGAGCCTTTCTGTGGTGCTATCATGGAGATGGTCTGGGAAGGCACTTCATGCTCTTCTTGCTTTACATCAGGGACCAACTCCTCTGAATCGGAACTGCTCGACGATTCGATAGCAACATCAGCTGCATCAACCTCCATAATGTTGGCTCCTGATTAGTAGCTAGGGTCGCTATTGTGGCAATTGTTTCCAAATTATTCTGAAACTCATGTATTGTTTGGAGGGTTCGCTTTTGTGGCAAAACAAAATTGGGAGACCCCTTAAAAAAAAAACACTGTAATTGCAGAGAAGCATTTTTTTCTCAAAAACGCTGTAGCTCAGTCAAGTTTTTGTTCATCTCCCTATCTGAGCCTGTAAATGCATCTCTCTCTGAAAAGGTTTGTTTGCTGGGTTCACTATTGCAGCAAGCTGTGCCAGAGCAGCCCCTGGAAGCCCAGAAGGGAAGCAAGCCATTTCCAAAATTGCCAAATTCAAACTCCAAGCCTTTCCCAAAGAACCAATCCCTTATTAAACCCTTATTAAAGAACAGCTTTTCCACAATTTTCCAAGGCCCTGGACCAGGAGAGGCTCCATTTCACTTTAGTAGGTTTGTTTGCTGGGTTCACTATTGCAGCAAGCTGTGCCAGAGCAGCCCCTGGAAGCCCAGAAGAGAAGCAAGCCTTTTCCAAAGGCAATTGCCAAATTCAAACTCCAAGCCTTTCCCAAATGAGCCAATCCCTTATAAAACCCTTATTAAAGAACAGCTTTTCCACAATTTTCCAAGGCCCTGGACCAGGAGAGGCTCCATTTCACTTTAGTAGGTTTGTTTGCTGGGTTCACTATTGCAGCAAGCTGTGCCAGAGCAGCCCCTGGAAGCCCAGAAGAGAAGCAAGCCTTTTCCAAAGGCAATTGCCAAATTCCAACTCCAAGCCTTTTCCAAAGGCAATTGCCAAATTCAAACCCCGAGCCTTCCCCAAAGGAGCCAATCCCTTATTAAACCCTTACTACAAGTACTACAAGTACTACAAGTACTACATGTACTACAAGTACTACAAGTACTACAAGTACTACAAGTACTACATGTACTACAAGTACTACAAGTACTACAAGCACTACAAGTACTACAAGTACTACATGTACTACAAGTACTACAAGTACTACAAGTACTACAAGTACTACAAGTACTACAAGTACTACAAGTACTACAAGTACTACAAGTAATACAAGTACTACAAGCACTACAAGTACTACAAGTACTACATGTACTACAAGTACTACAAATACTACAAGCACTACAAGTACTACAAGTACTACAAGTACTACAAGTACTACAAGTACTACAAGTACTACAAGTACTACAAGTACTGCAAGTACTACAAGTACTACAAGTACTACAAGTACTACAAGTACTACAAGTACTACAAATACTACAAGTACTGCAAGTACTACATGTACTACTAGTACTACAAGTACTACAAGTACTACAAGTTCTACAAGTACTACAAGTACTACAAGTACTACAAATACCACAACTTCATCGGCAAAAAAAACTATAGCAATTAGATTTCAATTGTAGCCAATTGAAATCTTTACTTAATTGAGGATATGTTTTTCTTTTGGGAAGAAAATTTTTGACTTTCTACTTTAAAGAGAGTCCAGATATAGTTTAGGGGAGGGGGGGGGGCCACACACTAATCAGGAACCAACATTACGGCCATTTTGCGCAGACCATGAGAATCTGCTGCCATCCTCATCTTCATGTGGACCGGCATGGCCACCTGGCAAATGACAAGATTCTATGGGACATGAAGTTCCTACTGCGGGATTACGGAGGATGCCGTCGACTGCATTGGCCCCTCGGTCTCTCAAGGCAGTGGTCAGTGGACTAATCCCTGGAACTTGCGGCAAAACCCGATCTTGATCATCTGGTTGCTGGTCCAAACCCTCATCTGGAACAACATCATCATCTTTTGGTTCATCATCCTGTACATCATCACGATCGGCATTCTCAGACTTCCGCTTCTGGCCAGTCGTGGTTTGGGATTTGGCTGGTCTGGATTCTGGTTTGATTTCAAGCCAAGCCTCACCAATCCAACGCTCTTGCATCAATCGGTTTGGCTCGTCACTTTCTTGATAGTTATCTTCTAACTTCACGGTTTCAGAACCCTTGGGAATGCCACGCAACCTGGTCTGCCTCACGCCTGTCAAGCTTGCATCATCAAAAGGACATGTGGTGGCTCTAGCAGGTGTAAACAAGGCTAAACGAGGCATATTGTGAACACGGATCAGCCATGATGCGCCGTCTTCATTGTGCAGTTTCCATGTGTCAGGTCGGACTGGTTGGACTGCCGAAGGTTCCTGCTGAACATCGGCAGCAGACAAATCACTCTGCATCTGTTCCATGGATGGGACATCACCTGTCACATCTGAAAAATGACGGCCTGTGAAACTACGCAAGAGGCTCTCTATGGTGACTGGCATCCGCAGGATTGCGGTGCCTTCCAGATTTGCATTCAGCTCTTCCCGCCTCGTGCACGGTCTCACTTGAACATCACGGGCTCTGATGATCGTGGCTCCTGTGGCAAGCCATATAACCCTCAGTGTGAAGCATGCGAACTGGACCTATCCATGAACCCCCAACACGGCCAGGACGTTGTTTCTGACGCCACAACATCACCAATTGGCCTGGCTTGTAGCTCACTCGAGGTCTGGAAATGGTATTGTTGAGTTTTGACAATCTCGATTTTGCACTTTCCATTTCAAAGGCAATTCTGGCTTTGCCTTTTCTTTCAACCGAAGGACACCATCAAATGCTTTCTTTGGATCTAAACCCAAGGGCAAATTTTCGGAAGGTGATGCTGATCCCCTTGTCCACTGAAACGGTGAAAAACCGGATGGTCGTACTGATTGGTTGTGACCATGGGCTGCCAACATGAAAGCATCTTCAATGGCAATGGTAGGCTCTTCACGAACCAGTCTTTTTACAGTGGATTTCAACACACGGATTGAACCTTCCTCGGCTCCAAGCATCTGGTGTGATTCTGCTGGAGTGGTGAGCAAACCAATGCCTGAGCGGCCCGCAAAATCCATCATCTGTTGGGAAGTGAAATAGGTGGCACCATCGGTGAGTATCCACCTAGGTGCAGGATTATGCATGAGCCAATGAGAAAAACCCCGGATTACATCAGAGGTGGTTGGTTCCCAGGCAGAAGGCCCCTCTATTCCACCATACGCACGGTCTCGAATCAGCTGGAACTTGTATTTGGTATGGTTTTCATGTTCCCATTCAAAAATGTCAGACCCAATCACATCAAACAAACCGGCCTGTTCCTGCAATGAAGCTACTGGTGGACTTGGCGGTTGCCGAGCCTCTTTGCAGTCTGGACATGTCAACTGGCCTGCAAGGTCAATGGCCCATTGCGGAGCCTTTCGGGCTCGAAGCAGGTTCTGAAGGTTCGCAAACGATGAATGGCCGGCTGCACGGTGGATTCGCAGCATCTGGGCTTTCACCTCTTCAAGCTTACGACCCTTTGGTGGTTCTTGGGTAAATCGGTTTCGGGTGAGTGCTAAGATGTCAGGATTTTCATCACGACACTTCGCCTCAAACATCATCCAATCATGACACTCATGAGAAATGGGAACTTGGTGCAAACCATCATAGTTGATGTAGAACTCTCTGACTGTTGCAAATGAATGGATACATCTTTGGCAAGGGATGTTGAACTTCGATCTTCACGGCATGTCCGTGAGTTGGATATGGCTTTGGTCACTGCTTCTACCATGTGGCTTTTGGATAGTATGACGATGCAACGGCAACCTGACCCCTGCAATGAACATGATCATCATGGCCAGGACAACGTTTTTGCAAAGCAAGCCAAACATGTCGTGATGTCGTAGCAACAGTCCATCCTTTCATGACTGAGTGTCCCTGCCAAACAAGACCATAAGCACATCCATGGAAATGGCACATGTACAACTGGCGGTTGTACTTGGCAGCAAGTCGCTTGAGATTACTTATTGCATCTTATTGCCTTAGATCTCCAACCTGCTGAAGCACCAGTCGGCCATTCCCAACTGACATCACCTCCGGTGGAAAGAACTGGTTCCAACGCCGGTGAAACCTCATAAGCTCTTTGCAAATCATTGGATTGCCGCTTTTGGAATGCGGCTTCTTCTGCATCGGTTCTTCGGGTCAAATGATTTAAATTGGAAAGACGAGTCCAACAATGCTCTGGAGGAGATTGGGCAATGCGGTGTCGAAGCTTGGTAGTGCCTACTTTCCTATCTAAATCAAAACCCTCACGGCAATTGACCCTTTGAATGGGATATCCAAGATCTTGCATGCGACTTGACAAGTATGACGTGGGAGAACATGCCACTTCCATGAAGTTGTGGTCGGACATCATCGTGAACATTGACCGAACAGAACACATCAGGATCGCACCCAAAAATGCCACATTGGCTGCAAGCTTCTTGGAAATCATTGGCTGGATGCCACAACGTTTTCCACCTCCAGGCCCTGGAACTGGCAAGGAGGCTTCGGCACAATTCAAATGGGTGCCGTCACGGTTGGTCTGCTTGGATGGCTCATCATGAAAACGTGTGGCAACCTCTTGAAAACCCTTGGCTTGGGAGTCATGAACACGAGACTCATGATGGCGGCCTTTCAACACATTGGCGCTACCAAAACCCTCAATGCCATGCTCGTCTGGGAAACTTGACTGCTGCTGGCTGCCTCTAAATGGTGTGGCGCTAGAACAATCACACAACTCATCACGATATGAATTCAGGCCATGCATCTTCTGCCTCAGAGCCATCAACGCTTGTTTGACCCGGCCTGAGCTGTGTCCTTGGTGTTCTCCTCGTCCGAAGAGATGATCTCGAGGACCATAGCCTCTGCCGCCTTCGGGTCGTTGATCTCGGGCTTGGGTTCCTTCTTGACCTGCATCTTGCCAAGGACATACTGGGAGGTCCCCTCTAGTTATAACTAAGTTGCGAGACATAAGTTAGTTGGAATGAAGTTATAAGTAACTTATAGCAAGTAACTTGTAAATTAGTTACTGAATTTAAAACTAAGTTATAAGTTCCGTAACTTATTTAGGTTGTTTTTTGACCAGTTTTTTTGATAGTTCTCGTTGCTTTTCTACTTTTTGCATTATTTTTGGAAAAGCTTATTTTTTTTAATGTTTTTCCCCACTTTTTGAGTCAAACAGCCGTTTTTTCTATATGTGCGGACCACCGCCGACAACGAGCGGACGTGCGGACCACCGCCTTTTTTTTGTCTCTACAGCAAGCACAAAACATCCAGGCCATCGATCGTCCACCAGCTTGGGCTGCGCAATCCATGCAGCTTGTCCAGCTCCATTGCTTCCTTCGCTTCAGTCATTGCGAATAAACATTACATGAAAACTGTATATACATATTTTTTTTATATATGTATATACACATATAGTTATAAATATTAAACTTTCCGAAATGACTGCACACTGTACACATGTTATGGTAGTAAATACAGGTCGATATTCGTGACGAAGGCGAGTAGATTTCCAGCAGCGGCGCCTCCAAATCAGAAGAAACCTCAGCAAGAGATTTTGCGATTGGAAATCAAACATTCCCTATACAAACTTCCTTTTCTATAGGCCATCGTTTTTTGGTAGTGCCTCTTGTTTTTGAGCACAAGCGCGTAGCCGCTTGGGCTCCGGATATAGTTTCATGCTAAATGGATTGTATCTTTAGAGGTTCATATGGATGAGGTGGTATTGTCATCATGTTTCTTATTATTTAAAAATTCTATACCCACATCCACCCACATAAAACCACATTTCCACAGCGGTGGAAATGTGTGGAAATCTGTGGGTGGCCTTTAGTCAAGACTACACCCACAGCCACATCTGTGGAAATCTGTGGGTGGCCTTCAGCCAAGACTACACCCACACACAGCACAGATTTCCACAACGGTGGAAATGTGTGGAAATCTGTGGGTGGCCTCTAGCCAAGACTACACCCACAGCCACCCACAGATTTCCACAACGGTGGAAATCTGTGGAAATCTGTGGGTGGCCTTTAGCCAAGACTACACCCACAGCCACCCACAAATTTCCACAACGGTGGAAATCTGTGGAAATCTGTGGTTTGATGTGGGTAACATGATTTGTAAATTTTGATTTGAGCATTTTGTTTCCTGTCCGGCCCATGTTGGGTCATATGATGCTTTTTGCGTTCATGTCATTTGGGGATTTAAATCAGGCCCATGTTGGGCATGCTAGGTCCCTCGCCCGTTCTTCTCGTTCTCCTTTCGTTCTTTCGTCGCTATTATTGTCAATGAACAACACAGCAGCCAGATGACCCGTTCTTCTACTTCTCCTTTCTTTCTTTTGTCGCTGTTTTTGTTCAAGAAACAGCGCAGCAGCAAGATGATCCGTTCTTCTACTTCTCCTTTCGTTCTTTCGTCGCTGTTGTTGTTCAAGAAACCACGCAGCAGCTACTATATATGATATTACTTTTTGTAACTATGATATCGGTTGAATAACATGTGCATATACAAATGTATGTACAGGTTCTTGCATTTATATATATATATATATATATACAAAACTATATGGCATACTTTTGAACAGACCAAGATGAGGGCTCAAGCAAAGCAACAGAGCGGAAAACCGCAGATGACTAAAAAATGCATGGTGCGGACAACCGCAAAGTTTCGCCAAATTCACCTTGAAAAGACAAATGAATCAATCGAAAACCTGTTTTTGGGCAAGAAAACTGCAATGCAGTGAAAAAGAGTCTTTCTGGCTACGAAAACATACGGAACTCAAAAAAACAATGAAAAATCAACTAGAAAAGGCTAAGTTCCGTAACTTTTTACTAAGTTTTAAGGCTCGAACTTATAACTAACATATAATTATTCTATCTGGAGTATCTAAGATGTAAGTTCCAACAGAAGATAAGTAAGTTACTCCAACTTATAAGCTACTTAACCTATGTTATAAGTTAAGTTGCGCGACTTATAACTAATGTAACTAGGGGGGTACCTCCCAGTAGTTCATCACACGTTCCTTGAACTCCTCCGGATCCAAGCCATCTAGCCCTTTCTCCCGAAGGTGCTTCTCTGCCGCCTCCATCAACAGGTCTGTCTGACCTTTCGGCATGGTGTAGCCGTTGGATCCCTGGTCGCAGCGATACTCCCGAAGGCTCATATTGATCGCCATGGAATTGGACAAGCCCTGCTGTAGCTGAATGCCCTTCAGCTCCATCAACTTTCCATTCACCATCTTCTCGGTGATATTCTCGGCAGTGTGATGGGTTCGGAGCTGTTCCATGGCCACCATCACTTGATTGGGATGTGGACCCATGTGGCGATGCTCTCCATTGCCGGATCCCTTCACCTGATAGCTCATTCTGAGGCCACATTTGACGCATGCCTGCCATGTCGCATACTGGTTTGTGCGACTCTTCAGATCGTGATTCTTGTTGCACCCACCAGTCTGGGGTCGTCCTGGGCACATGGCTGTCGACGTGCTTCCATCACGGATACGTTGACGCAAATGAAAAATCTTCTGGGCCAAGGACTGTCGGATGTGAGACTGAGTCAGCTGTTTTGACATCATCATGACAGATGGCTTTCCAAAATGAGGCCCTTCATCATCAGCATGAACTACCGTAGTACTAGCATGAAAAACATCTTCCCATTTTCCATCCATTGCTGTCAAATCACCCTTCAAATCAACTGAAACATGTGCTGATGGCAAAGGCTGCATCTTGACCGCCATCCATTGAGAACCCGATGCCTTGTCGTTGTAGATGAAGAGATTCTGATCGTATGCCATGATTGCCCCAATTGAACGCAGTGACCTGCCGCACAACGAAGGTGGAGTGTTGCTTGCTTCTCCGTCCAAAACATAGAATGAAAGAGTACCCAAAGCTGTGCTTGTCAGGTCAACTCGACTAACTGCACGTGATTGCTGACCATTTCCAAAACGAAATACCGGACGATCTTCCAAATCAACGTGATATTGAAATCCACCTTGTTGCACAAGTCTGCATTCTCGGATGCTCCAGTGTCGATCACCACACATGTATCGTTCACCATGCCAGTCAGATAAATTTCACCAGGGACAAACAAAGCACTGATATCGTAAAAATGCGTAGACTTGCCCATGCCCTTGCCCTTGGACTTTCCTTTCTTGCCAGAGCCGTAGGATCCCTTGCTATGTCCAATCTTGCCTTTTCCTTTGGAAAATCTGTCTGGACATGAATTGTACGTGTGACCATGCATGCCACAAATGAAACATGGTCCCTAACCCCTTCTTGCTCTTGCCAAATGACTCCCCTTTGGAAAACCACCTGATGAGCCACGGTGAGGTGAGGACGAAGGTGAACCTGAGATCCCTTTGCCTGACATTGACTCTGGGGCAAAACACCCTCTGGCTTGTCTCACTTTCCTGACTGCATCCCTGGCTTCTGCTAACGTCTTGTTGGCTTCACCAGCAAGTGCATAGGCTTCTCTAAATTGCTGCTCCGCGGGATCAGAATTGTCATCGGCATTGGCAGTCTCATTCAACAGCTCTTCATCCCATGCACCTTCATCTACATAGCTGTCTTGTTGCTGATACCATGAATCATCGGTCCATGATTGCCAATAGTTGTACTGACTGTCATCCCAAGCCCAGGTCCCTGGATCGTCAGCTTCCCACATCCAGGACTCATCCTCATCTTCGCCATGAGCTTCATACTCATTCCAGTAGAGTCGGCCTTTACGAAGACCGCCTTTTCCAGAATCATCGTCTTCAGAAAACAAAGTGCGCAGTGCTCGTCTGATCTGCAAGAACCCCGCGGAGTTGTTTGTCTGTGTCAATATGTTCTGTCGCTCACTAGTTGTCAATCTTGCAGACTTCAACAACCTGTAACCGCGCAATTCATCCTCAAAGAAATCACGAGTTTCCGGTTCCTTCGACTCCTGGGGTCGAGGCGCCCATGTTCGTCGTGCTGAATCATCTGGTACACCTGAATGCCTTGCCCCCAATGGACTCTGAGAAGGAGTGCATGGAGGACGGTTCATGCTAGGTTCAGGCGTTGCAAAAGCTCCAGAACATCTTCCCTAGCCCTAACCAGAGATTGTTGCAGTTGCACAAAAGGGTCTTCCTCTCTGACTAAAGGATGAGAAATTCGCCATGGATCTAGTCGGATGCTCCAGGTAGGAGCTCCGCTACCATCAAGGTAGCAAAAGGAGCAACAACTGAATTATGGAAACACTTAGACTCAAAGGCCAACTATGGCCACGCGCAGCTTCTGTTTTGGCTCTGAAATGCCCGCCCTCAGGTCAGCGATCCATGTATGGTCATGTCATGAACTGGATGACTCACTCCTGCAATGGATATTCATGGTTAGGTGTCAAAGCAATGTGATCAGTAGGCTCATTGGATAAATGCTTACATTATTGTGATATCACATCAGCCACCAAAAAATAGATAAGTTAATTTTGACGGGGCTAATAACATTTTACTTTTCTTCTTTGGGGTTGCCATTTATATGGGTATGGGCCAAAATTCGGCACCCCAATAATTAGATGGTTAATACTAATTCAATAGACTAAAATCTGTGGTCCCCTGGGTCTTAGATTTGTCCCATACCCATCTTTCGTGATCTTATGTCTTATAGGAAAAATGCATTGGATCATCATGACCCCACTGTGCGCCATTAGGTCCTCTCCGGCCACGTACTCGGGCACTTCGCGGCCATGCGAGTTCTCTCCCATCACAAAGTGCCTGGGGTCCGGCCCCAAGTGGGATATCATGTTTTAAAGATTATACTACAAGGTCATTTGGGATAATTAATGGGATTTAACTAGTGGGGGCACACTATATATATTGGAGAATTGAGCCATATTCCACCAATCAAACTATGCTCCACTGATGATTTACTATACGGTGGTGCTGCCAGTTCGCTGGCGAAGTTGGTGAACATGATGACCCTAATAACTAGGGACTAGGGCACTAGGGTTTATCGTAGACATAGTGGACTATTTCGTGGGGTTCTAAGTTTGCTTAATACCTCGGGGGCAAGCACTTTGCATGGGATACGTATTTCATATAAAGCTTCCGGCAATGAGTCATGGCCATGGAGGCCTCGGTCGAAGCTAGTTTTGTTTTGTGGTACCACTATTACAGTTATATTACTATCAGGTAGTAGTAGTAGTAGTAGTAGTAGTAGTGGTAGTAGTAGTAGTAGTAATAGTAGTAGTAGTCGTCGTCGTCGTCGTCGTGGTGGTGGTAATGGTGGCGGTAGTAGTAGGGGTTTCTACTAACCAATTAGACGCTAGTAATAGTGGTACTGGCCATCAGTCAGCTAATCTATGAACTAAATTGACTAGTAGTATCATTATTACTATTGTCATGACAAGTAGTTGCTGAATACCAAGATTATTAGTACCTATTAAGGATAGCACTAGATATTTAAAAATGAGTGGGTAAATTATAATATTTCACTAACCTGGATTCAGGCCATTTGGGGACCCGTTTGGGGATCCATTTGGGGACCCATTTGGGGATGATTCCGCTTATTAACCATGATTCCAGTGAGGTCGCAATTAGGTCGTTATAATTTACCAAGAACTATGACATTTTAGTTGCGAGTACTTCTTAGGGTACCCAGAAAAGTTCTCGGATTATCCCAGCGGTAATCTTTCACATGGATCCCATCCAAAAAGGCTGTCATTCAAATACCCAGCTAGCCGAAAGGTATACTACAATCATTGTGCATGTATACATATATACATATATATATATACATATATGTGTGTGAGTAAATATATATGTCAAAAATGTGTTTAATGCAAATACACCCTTGTTTGAAAGTAGGTTAGTTCACCAAAGATATAACAGAACTAACCCTACTTACCCTACTGAAATACCTGGTGTTAAAACCCAATCACTAACTGGCGTGAACCACCACGTACATCCGCTTGTGATGGTTAACTGGGGCTATCACATCAGTTATAGCTATAGTTACAGTTGACACTTGGTTGACACAATCCCAAATCACGTATTGGGTTTGATAACTATCCCACTTCCATCACATCTAGTTGAATAATATGTTATCTAATCGTGCTTTCTTGCTAATTGCTAGTTGGGATGCATAAGAAAAACTGTTTGGGAAATAAGAGTGGGGGGACCACTAGCAGGGTCAAGGAAAGGAACAAGATGCTTAAACGAATGGTATTTGCCTGACGTATTAATTTCCAACTTGTTTATGCCTGGCAAAAAACAAAACCATCAGTCATTAACGTTTGGGCCAATGTAGAACAACATGATGGCAAGCTGATTTCAGGCGGAAACAAGTAGAGCCATGTAGGGCCCATTTGACTGATTCAACAAACATCTGCAGACTGAAAGCTTCAACGGCTACATCACCGCAATTCTACCTTGCAAGGTGGCCCACACAAAGGTGGGGCCTGTGATGCCAACTCGGATCCGATTCCGATGGGGCACGTTCTCAAGTGGACAATCATGGGCCCTCCTGGAATTATGTTTTAGCGATTTTTAATGTGTATAACACTAGTTGGGATGATCTCTTTATAGCCCCCATAGGTTGATAATTTACCATTTTTGAAGTCCGACATCATTGATGTACGGCCTGCAGGCATTGTGAATGCAAGTTGGGTTGCGCATACTAAAGCGAAACGGTAATTCATGCATATTTGTGCCAACCCCAAATTAATCAACCCAGTTAATTAGTGGGTACCCCTCAAAGCGCCAAACTCACTACTAAATAAAATCATTTTCAAACTGATACTGATACTCAAAGTACCCCCAAACAAAGAAGCCAGAGTTTTTTTTTGATCCTGGGCTGACACCTCCTTGTTTATGACCTTAAGTTGTAGCTGAAAAATCTCTCAAGTAAACTTTGATAGGTATCAGCTTAAAATAAATCAATGGTTTGGTTTAAGGAAAAAATTAATGGAAACATCCATATTCATAGGAAAACCGATGGCTTCCGATTTCGACTTTCCCTGCAAAGCCAAGCTGCGAGTTGTAGCCTGCACGGCACCATTCACCATTACAACCGGTGCCTCAGATGCCACATCTTGGCTACAAGTTGGGTATAGAGTTGGAACCAAAGTTTTTCATTGCAGAACCAAAAGGAATGGGCAAATGAACTATATGAACCTTGAAAATGGGGGTGAAAGTAACACTACCCAAACGACTTCAATCCTGAGACCTTGAGAGGTATGTGGGCACCTCCGGATATGATGTTTCGAACACATTCAATTGCAAATATATCCAGCATGTATTGCAGTTATTGAAATCAAAAACCAGAAAAGACTTTTTCTACGTAAACATCCATTTTGTTAGATTAACTGTTAGATAAAATGAGGAAAAGATTAAATCTGATTGAATACATATACATATATATATATATATATGTGCTTAAATCACCCTTTCTGTTGGTTAAACTATGCCAACCCCATATTTGCAAGTTGCCACGCTAAATTACGCAAAATCCTCTGAGCTGGGAACAACACATGGTCCCTTGATCATGATCTGAAACCAAGTGGCATCCGGCCTTATCTTTGCTGCACGCCTGAGTTGCGCCACGGCAGCCCGCCAAACAGAGAAGTAACGCATTGTTTTTTGTTACCACATGACATATAATTCATTAGTTGATATTAGTTGTCTCTCTCTCTCACTCTCTCTCTCTCTCTCTCCATCGCCATCTGGTTCAGTTCAGCGAGGCTGAAGGCGATCAGGTGGCCCAGCCATATCAACCAGCTTTGAGGGCAACGCGGAAAGTTCCACAACAACATTGGCGCGATATAAAGATTCAAAGCAAAATGGTAGCTGACTTAAAACATCTGATGCTTGGTCGCCTCCACCACTGGATGCAAAAAGCAGAACCCGGATGTGGAAGGTCGTAGACTTGATCCACCCAGTGGTGGTGACAAAGTCAGGCCCCGGTTGACGCTGGTGCACTCGCCAGCCGCTTGTGCGATCCAGCTTCAGCACGGAATGTTCCCTGAACACACCGTCTCCTCCCAAAGGTAAAGGTCATTGGGGGCAGCAAAAACGTTCAACTGTGCATGTTGGGCACACACGCCATGGTGGCGGAGCTAATCACGTTCAGTTGTGCCATTGAGTGCGGTTGTGAGCTTCGTCTGCTGAAATGCCTTTATGGGCCAAATACCGCAGCACGGCTCTATGACCATTATTATCGGGCCCAGGGCCAAGCTCTGTAACGGCGAAAACCCAGTCGTATGGTATCTGTGCTGCGCTAGGAAAGCAAAACTTGACGGACCAAACTCATGGGCGCCATGCGGAGAACATGTCAAACCCACCGCCTACTGGCGAGCAAACAATCCCAGAGTTCTGCACATGCTTGTGCCCACATGCCAAAGAGCCCCAATGCATTCCACCGAAAACCAGGAGATATGAGCCCGGCCACCCAAGAGCCACGTCAGAAGAGTGCAGTGGTGAACGCGCAAGCGCTGGAGGTTTCACTGGGTGACTGGCAAGACACACTAAGACCACTTCAAGGAAGCAAACATGCGTAAACGCTGGCCACGCGACACAAACCGACAAGTGAGGCCTGTTGGTGAAGGAGGCTGCAGTGGCCCGGCTGCAGAGGGCAGAGGAGAGGTGAGCATCAGTTTCCGCAATGTGGAAGGGGAGGCACAAGTAAGTGGATGAAGACTCAGACACAACTGGAAAGGAAGCCAAAGCACCATGCACCCGAGAAAGCAAACGGGAAACAACGCAAGACTTTGCAAAGTTCATGCGAAGGCCCATGGAAGCAAGGAGCTGGACGACACCAGGAATGCATCGCGCCAATTGAGCGGCGGTGCGAAACATAAAAAAAGGACCGGAAAGCCCCACAAGTCAACTTCTTCCAATAATTAGCAAGAAATGTGGCAGCGGGGACGGGGAAGGAAAGAAAGACAAAGGAGGTGGAGGAAAGATGGTGTGTGACAAAGTTGTGTGTGTGAAAGATGATTTGGTGAAAGATGGTGAGCGACAAAGTGGTGTGTGACAAAAAAGTGTGTGAAAAATGGTGTGTGAAAGATGGTCTGTGACTGTGTGTCAAAGATGTTGTGTCAAAGATGGTGTGTGAAAGATTGTGTTTGACAAAGTGGTGTGTGAAAGATGGTGTGTGAAAAAGTTGTGTGAAAGATGGTGTGTGACAAAGTGGTGTGTGACAAAGTGGTGTGTGAAAGATGGTGTGTGACAAAGTGGCGTGTGAAAGAAAGATGGTGTGTGACAAAGTTGTGTGTGTGTGTGAAAGATGGTGTGTGACAAAGTGGTGTGTGACAAAGTGGTGTGTGAGATGGTGTGTGACAAAGTGGTGTGTGACAAAGTGGTGTGTGAAAGATGGTGTGTGAAAGATGGTCTGTGACGGTGTGTGAAAGATGGTGTGTCAAAGAGTCAAAGATGGTGTGTGAAAGATGGTGTTTGACAAAGTGGTGTATGAAAGATGGTGTGTGAAAGATGGTGTGTGAAAGATGGTGTGTCAAAGATGTTGTGTGAAAGATGGTGTGTGAAAGATGGTGTTTGACAAAGTGGTGTGTGAAAGATTGTGTGTGAAAGGTGGTGTGTGACAAAGCTGTGTGTGAAAGATGGTGTGTGTGAAAGATGGTGTGTGGCAAAGTGGTGTGAAAGATGGTGTGTCAAAGATGGTGTAAAAGATGGTCTGCCAAAGATGGTGTGTGACAAAGTGGCGTGTGAAAGAAAGATGGTGTGTGACAAAGTTGTGTGTGTGAAAGACGGTGTGTGACAAAGTGGTGTTTGACAAAGTGGTGTGTGAAAGATGGTGTGTGAAAGATGGTGTGTGAAAGATGGTGTGTGAAAAAGCGGTGTGTGAAAGATGGTGTGTGTGTGACAAAGATGGTGCGTGACAGATGGTGTTTGGCAAAGTGGTGTGTGAAAGATGATGTGTGACAAAGTGGTGTGTCAAAGATCGTGTGTGACAAAGTTGTGTGTGACAGATAGTGTGTGAAAGTTGTGTGTGAAAGAGGGGGTGTGACAAAGTTGTGTGTGAAAGATGGTGTGTGACAAAGTGGTGACAAAGCGGTGTGCCAAAGATGGTGTGAGAGCCGGCCCAGAGCTCCTCAAGTATGAGGCTCTGTGTACTGCTCCTGCCACACGACAGCCAGCCGCGGCCCAGCGGCCCCCACGCGCGCACCAGCTCCTCCAGAAGGCTCTGTGCACTGCGCCTGCCACACGATAGCCAGCCGCGGCCCAGCGGTGCCCACCCGTGCGTCACCAGTTCCTCCAGGCATTAAGGCTCTCTAAACTGCGTCTACCACACGAAAGCCATGAGCTCCTCCAGAACGGAGCAGCTCCTCCAGAAGGAACTGTGTACCGCGCCTGCCACACGAAAGCCAGCCGCGGCCCAGCGGCGCCCACGCTCTGTGTACTGCGCCACCCACACGATAGCCAGCCGCGGCCCAGCACCGCCCACGCGTGCACCAGCTCCTCCAGAAAGCTCTCTAAACTGCGTCTACCCCAGGAAAGCCAGCGGCCCAGCGGCGCCCACGCGCGCACCAGCTTTTCCAGAAGGCTCCGTGTACTGCGCTTGCCACACCAAAGCCAGCCGCAGCCCAGCGGCGCCCACGCGCGCACCAGCTCCTCCAGAAGGCTCTGTGTATACTGCGCCTGCCACACGCAAGCCAGCCGCGGCCCAGCGGCGCTCACGCGCGCACCATGTGTGGTGTGAGATGAGTGCTGCGTGATGAGTTGGTGAGTGCTGTGTGAGGAGTTGGATGTGATGCTGTGTCATGAGTGGTGGTGTGTGTCGCGGAAGGGCGGGCGGACGCGGAAGCAGCGGCGGGTGTAAAGCGAAAAGAACCCCACACAGTGATGTGGGGAACAGGATGGCGTCGTCCATGAACCAGATCCCACAAAGCGAAAACGGACCAGCGGTGGAAGCCGGAAGCTCGCCTCTGGCGCACCACTCACGGGCAAGAGTATCAAAACGAGCAGCAACTACCCGACTGAAGAGGGTAGGGCTATGAGTTTTACCTTGTTGTGTGCCCCGCTTCTGGAAGCACCACCAAACAGTATCAAAGATCTCAAAGCGCAAGTGTGACTGGAGCAGACCCCACCGAAGAAGGGATACACTTTTGGCAGACAAGCCAGACCAGTTTTGAACAAAGAACTTCAGGAGAGCGTTGCGTTGCAAGGAATCGAATGCTTGGGAAAGGTCAGGTTGAACAAACAAGGTATCACCCGCAAAGAGCGCACTGGTTTGTGTAGAATGCCGAAGGATGTACAAACAATGCTTTTCGAAGACCATGCCCAGGGACAGGGCCAAAACAGGAGGAAGGCACACACCATGTGGCAACCAGTCTAGCAGTGGCCAAGCGGGCGGCAAGTTTGAGGAAAAACTTCACCACACACAATGGGGCGGAAGTGAGCAGCATCGTCCACACGTGCTTTCTTGGGGACCAGGAAGACCCAGCCAGAGGCCAACTCAGTATTGGCTAGTTCAGGCGCACGAAAAATGAAATTCAACATGACGGGCAGCACATGCACACCACAGGGCAACTCGAGAAAGGTTAGGTGGTCAGCACCAACCCTGGAAGGGCAGGTGGTCTTATTCGATTTTAACTTGCGCACCCCCACAACAATTTCCGCTTCAGAGAAATCAGGTGAAATCAGGTTCTCAAAGTCATCCAACCCTTCAAATTAGTTGCCTATCTTTTGGGTCTTTTGGATCTTCATTAGCTTTTTATCTGTTTAGTTGTCATTGATAATTCGTCCGCTGTCTATTTTTCATTACCGGTACAAAGCCGTTCTGTTGCTGTACTGCACTAAGTTCTGGTATGTTTCCACCCGCACCAATTGAACACATCCATCTGCAAAGAATCATGAAAAACATTTTAAACACCACAAAGTAGAAACCCCAAAAGGATAGAAAAACAAAAGCAGCATTCTACCACTATTTGATGATTGGAGTTTGCTACAGTCATCTAAAGTCTACCTCTTGAAGGATAATTCATCTATATATGAAATTACTAGAAGGTACTTCCATCAAATCCCATTCAAACCCCTCAGGTTGATGGTTAAATCCCATTGTATTCCACATGACAACCCATTCAAATCCCTCAGGCTGATGGTATTCCACATGATGATCCATGTCTTGTTATGATCAAATTGGCCATGGCGGCTATGACAACATTTGGGGCATCTCACCTCCATCTTGAGACACAGCCACACACAAAAAAAAGAAAAACACATACATGGAACCTATAATTTATAGTTATGTATAGCGGTTATCAAGCAATGATTTTTAAATAGATATTCAAAAAAATAAATATATACATAAAGATTAAATAATATGTTTATACCAGCTATGGTTATGAACTATTATTATGTATAGTTGAATTAGTGTAGTGTATGTCTAAAAAACCAGCTATGCTATATTGGTATGTTATGTATAATTGCGGTAGCAAAGCCAAGACTAACCAATGTTTAGTTACATTTTATGTTGTGATGTTTATTTGATATTCGCAGAATCCAAGTCTGTACCAGGAGGCTGGGTCCTTGGACACGCCCGTGGGGTAGGCCGTCTGGCACTTGCGAAAGGGGTCAGCAGCGCCGATGACACACTTGCTCTGACACCAGGTGCCACCGCAGCCCATGCAGTTGTCCTTCTTGGAGCATTTGCCTTGCGTTGGGGGCCAACGGCCAATATTTGATGATGTTGGGCTCCACAACGGTGTTTTTATTAACTTAAAGTGCTTGAGAAGGTATAACTCATTGAAGTTAAAAAACACATTCTTGGGAGTATTTGCTTCAGTTGACATGGCGTGGATATGGATGTCTGATCATGAAACTAGACTTTCACGCTGCACATATAGATATATATACATATATATATACATACATATATATATATATACATATATATATATATATATATACATAAATACATATACATATATATATATGCATAGTATGTATTTTATATGTATAAGTATCAATATATAGTTTTAAAAACAAATAAACATGTGCACAAACATGTATACATATAGAAATAAATACATATAGAAATAAATACACATACATACATACATACATACATACATGCATGCATGCATACATACATACATACATACATATGTATTTATATTTATTAATTGAAAACGATTGTGATCGATGAAAAGAAAAAGTGACAACCATGCTTTACAAACGGGCGAGAAATAAGAGTAATTATAACTGTTATCATTGAAACGGGTAACAGCTGGTTATTGCAATGATGTGTGAAATCGTTTCAATGCTTTGTGAACCCCGATTTAAATCTACAATAACGATTCTTTGAGCAGTGGCCCGTGCGACTGGGGCTATACCCCATATTCCCCAATGGTACGGCTGCGGGCGGCTCGTGTAGGGTGCCATGGACATGGGGTAGCAGGTGCCACACAGGTCCTGCGCAGGAGCAGCTGGGTGAGCAAAGGGTATACCAATTCTGGGATGATGATAGCTTAGATAAGTTATGGTAAATGGGGAAATGTCATGTTATGTACATATATATATATACTTACAAGTATGTTTTTCAAAAATCAACATTTGAAGTGTCCGGAAAAATGAATGTGCTTCTTGCTGGGTCAAGTTTCTCGAGGGTAGAAAAAGGGGTGTCAATCTTGCCTTGGAAGTTGAATTCCTGACTGGAGAGACAGTGCTGGGCACTGGTGCCGCCGCAATCGTGTTCAATTGATTTCTATTGATCATTGTCTTTTCTATGGGGAGGGACATTCCTTATACGGACGCTCCTAGAACATTCCTTTTCATTCATTTTAATGCCAAATAATTCCATGTCATTCCAAAATGTTATATGTCATTTCAAATATGTATTGTTCATTCATCCTTTTTAGGGCTTTCAAAGAAGTATATACTTAAGAACATTTTGGTAATTTCAATATTGTTTTCTATTTTTGATTTTTGTGTGACTGTATTGGATTTTGTGTTTCACTTGTTTTTTGTTTAAATGTTTTGTATACAAGAACCCTTGATTGTTTTTTTCCTCTGACTGTTTGTGTTATGTTTTTGTGTTTTGGACTTGTTTTTTTGATTTGTTTGGATATATTGTTTTTGTTTTGTTTGGATATATCGTTTTATGTTTGATTGTTTTTTGAGAACTTGTTTGATTTCTTGGGATTGTTCTTTTCATTTTATTTTGTTTTTTAAATGTATATATATGTTTTAAAGAATCAATATGTTATTTTGTTGGACTTGTTTTTAAGTTTCGAGTTTCTTTTTAAAATTGTTGGGTTCATTTTTTGGAAGGTGTGTTTTTAGTTTTTTTGGGATTTTTTTTTTTGAAAAGGTAGCAACTCTTAGGAGTGGCCCAGTTCGGAGTAACCCAGGGCTCTCTAATACTCTCTAATGACATTGTCAACACCCGTGAGATGTAAGGACCAGCGAGAATGGTCATGTTATGTTCACTAGTTGTTTTTTCCCCTAGCATCTACCAAACCCATTGTCCCATGCTGAATTCCATCTCAGAAGGCTTTGGTATGCCCCCTCGATCCTCATCCAGGGCTCACGAGAGGCCACTGACGGCAAGCGAGGCCACTCATATCGCCAAACATTACTTATTTCGCAAAATCAAAAAACCAACCCGGGATGTGGAGGTTTCCTAAAATGTTGGTACCCCCAAATCGGACCATTTTTATTAGGTCATTTTAGTATATTGAAGCCCATGGTTTTGGGAGTCCTCCGTTTCAAGAAAATCCCATGTTGAAAAAAAACAAAAGAACTAAAGCCTCCCAGGCTCCTTGCTGTTCTCGCCACTGTAGCAGCACGTGCCACCCTCCTCTGACCTTGGCATAATCTGACTTCACAACACATCCACTTCGCGGAATTTGTACAGTAACCATCAGAGCCAGCTTTGCACATTGGCTTCACACAAATGACGCAACACCGCTGCAAACTCTATTTTTATGGCCGAACAAAGACAATCATTACCAGGTAGTGCCCGGCAAAATAGGACATGGCTATAGGAACCAGTTTGCTTATAGGAATTCTTGGTGAATTGGAAAGAAGTGAACTGAAATGAAATGAAATGCACAAACTGAGTGAACTGAAATAAATTAATTGAAACACAAAGGAATTGAAATCAATGAGCTGGAATGAAAGAATTAAAACAAAGTAATTGACATGAATGAATGAATGAATGAATGAACGAATGAATGAATGCAGGAAGGAAGGAAGGAATGAATGAATGAATGAATGAATCCATGAATGAATGAATGAATGAATGCATGAATGACTGAATGACAATGAATGGAAGGATGAATGAATGAATGCATGAATGAATGAAGGAATGAATGAATGAATGCATGAATGAATGCATGAACCAAAAGTGATCCGCGCCCCTCGTTTTTTTACGAGAGACTTTTCAAACCTGAATTCACGCATTCCCGACCTGTTGCGCTTGCAACTACGTGATGATGAGTTCGCATGATGATGTGGTTGGCATCATGGTGACATTACGATGATGTGGTTGACATTTGAAACCGGGCTCTCGCTACAGTCTTGTGCACCTTTTGCCGACCTCATCTTCCAAAAGTGCTCCAAACCCGAAAGTTTTTTAACATCCTGCGCCTTTTCCCGACCTCATCTTCCAAAAATGCTCCGAACCCGACAGTTTTTGCATGTTCATCAAGTGGAAATTGAGCTCTCGATACAGTCTCGTGACATGTTGTCCATCGTCCAAAAGTTCTCCAAGCCCGACAATTTTTTTACGCTTCTTATGTGAGTGAAATCGAGCTCTCACTATTCCTGTGCGCATTTTGTCGACCTCACCGGACCCGTGAAATCGAGCTCTCGCTACAGTCCTGTGCAAATTCTGCCGGCCACTTTCCCCAATCGAGCCGCAAAACCCCGGAAACCGAGACCCTCCTTCGGCGACCAGCAGCCACTTTACCGGAAATAATAGAAGGTTTCGCGCCCGAGAATGTTTTCAAGATTTTTCAAGCCTGAATTCACGCATTCCCGATCTCGCACGCTTCCCAACTATTACTTACATGATGATGTGGTTGCCATGATGATTGCGGTGATGATGTGGTTGCCATCACGGTGAGAAAGCTAGCCATGACAATTGTTCGTAACTCGGAAGTTTCCTAACTAAACTTCCTTTGATAATTAATGCTGCTTGCTGGTGTCAACCTATTTCAACCAAATAATACCAAATATGAAAAAGACGTCGTGTGCAGATCATACCAGGTAGGATGAAACAAAGAACAGCAGCAAGCAGCATGGGATGGTCATCCGCCCCCACCATCCCATACCAGGCAACTCTCTCTTGTCTTGGAGGGCTGTCTCATTCACCTTGCTGATCTCCTGGCTGCTACAGAGATTTGGATTCACCGCCTCCCTATGCGCAGCTCAAAACATGTTTTTCCTCGAGCGCTCAGGGAAACAATGCATGGCGGAAAGTTTGGGGCCATCGAAACATTCAAATATAATGAAGAACCGGATAACCCCACATGTCATCACATGTCAACTTCTTCCAGTAAGTAACAAAAGAAAGATGAAGACGGAATGGGAAAGGCAGGAAAGAGACATGAGATGGTGAAAGGTACGTATGAAAGACATTCGTGTGAGAGAGTTGCTTGTATATCTTGTATGTCCGTATGTGTGTGTGTGCCCGCGCAGACCATCATGGAAAGGGATGATCTGTGACTGGTGTATGGCGAAAACAGATGGTTGTGTATGTCTGTCTGTCTGTCTGCCTGCCTGCCTACCTGCCTGGCTGGCTGTCTGTTCTCTGTCTGTCTGTCTGTGTCTGTCTGTGTCTGTCTGTGTCTGTCTGTGTCTGTCTGTGTCTGTCTGTCTGTGTGTTTTTTTCCCCCGCTCCTTTTCAGAAAGTTGTGCGCGCGCCTCAACATTGTGGTAATGTTGGCCCAACACAGGTTGGGGCTTGGAGAAACGTCCTATCAAGCATGCTATGCACAAAAGCTAATAATTAGGTCGGATGCAGTCAAAGGAATTATGTTGAAACGGGTTGCCAGCTGCCTGGGACTGTGCTGGCAGTCGGATGGCCTGTGCATTGCAGTTCCGTAACAGCAGCATAAAAGCAAGATGATTCAGGCACCCCACAAAAGTCCAGCTCCTGCAGGTGCATTCAAAGGAGGTTGGCTTCGGCTCGGATGCATGGGCTGCCTACTACTGGAACGAGCTGAGGGTGAAACCATTCCGTGCTTTTGTTTTTTGTGTTCTCTTTTTTTTCTGCTGGGGACACTCACTGGATGTGAGGGCTTATGCGGAAAAAAATGCAAAACAACATGCATAGCTTCTACCAAAATGATCTCTGAAGTACACAGTCAGCACAAAACTGAGTGCTCGGCTACACTCCATTGGAGGGAGGGCTTGTAGGATCATGTGACGGCAGGTGTAGCTGGAGGATTTTCCTCCTGATCCACTGCCAACAGCTGCAGCACTTCAGAGGAAGAATCTGTCCATCCATCTCACTTCGGGGCTGTTGTCCAACCCCTGTGGATTGCATAGGTGGAAGACGCAATAAATCCAACCAAACATTGCTTGCAAAAATTGCTTGCAAACATTGCTTGCAAACCAGGGTGGCTCTTGCCAAATACGACGGGCTAGGGCCATTGTCATCTGTGAGCAAGTGCAAGACTGGGCCTTGTGTCGATTGCGTGTCAGGCCACGTCTTGAGCAAGCTGCGGCAGTGTCCAGCTTCATCTTGACCTTGGTGTGAAACCATGGAAATAACTTGATAGCCCCTCCAAGAGACATCCAGACCTGAGCCAACGTAGAAGGGGATAGACACACTTCCATGCACTCCAATTGGGGTGTCACACTTGGCCACAGTTCCATCACCGTAGCGGTCAATGTGCAGGCAAATGAGAGTGGTGTCATGGAGCATGGCCGTTTGTATACCGAGTTGGTTCATCCAGGTTCGAATCAGTTGATTCAATGTCAAGTGGGAGTCATTGCACAGCTCCTCATCAATTTGCATGATCAGTGGCTGGTGCGCGCTATTTTGGTCATTGCGTGTGACCTCTTGCCCCAATTGAACCCTTTGTTCCCAGCTCATGTCAAAGCCAGTCAAGTTCAAACCCCTAATCAGAAAAGAGTGGAACTCAACAGGATCCCCTTGTGCATCTGGGTGTCCCCAATCCTTCAAAAGGCCTTCCATCCACTAGCCAGCCAGTGTCTGTGGTCTAGCAGGCGCCGTCAAAATAAAAGAGGAGATCTGAGATGCATAGGTCCCCAAGTGACAAAGCTCAAAGTCAAAGCGGTTTGCCATCGCCCGCATCAGAGCCATGAATGCCGCGTTGATGTAGCAATGATTGCTGTCATTGGCCAATTGTAGGCTACTCAAGGCCAAGCAAAAATTGGTTCGGTCAGGGTACGGCCCAGTCAGGCTTTCCTGCATTTGCGAGATCCTTTGGCATGGCCCTTGCACATGAGCTCCTGTAGTTGAGCTGCCTGGCTGCTTTGGTGGAGACAATGGGGTTTCATCGAGACTCCAATCAAGTTCCAAACCTTGTTGTTCATCAGGGTATTGAGCAGGGTCGAGAACTCGTCGTTGCGAATGCTGATCTGCAAAAGCCATGGCACCGCTGCGGTCTCGTGACTCTTCAGTGAATGGAATTTGACTGTCGCCTCCACCTCTTGCACCACTTCCACCAACTGTGCAATGTACTTGAGCATTCTGTCCATTGAGATTGCCGGCTGATCCGTTTCCAGTAGTTTCTTCTGCTGCACATCCCAACGGTGGAATGGGAATGCCCCGTTCTGGTGAACCAGTCTGTGTCGCAGCGCCACCTGAAAGACCGGGTCTGTCTGCTGACATTGACTGAATTTCACCAGTCGCGTCTGGAGCGTCTGGGCCATCGTTTGCATCAACACTGCCCATAGCGGGACATAGGTCACTACATCCTTCATTGCTTGATCTGACTGAGACATCTGATTGCCTGGCCTTCTCCACAACGTGAGGCAGCAAAGCCTTGTCGTCGTTCTGCTTGAAGGAGATGTAGCAGCCTTGTCTTCTCAGAGCTTGGTTCTCCTGATCCAACTTGAGGACCATTTGCGCCAGAAGTCGCACCACCTGATCGATCTCCGACTTAAGGTTTTCCTTTGGAGCAGTCGTCTCCCTCCTGGCCTTCTTTGCCTCCCTTCCTTCTGCGCTTCGTCCTAGGAGGAGCGGCGCCATGCCGCTCAGAGTGGCCAGCAGTTCCTTGCTCTCCGCCGGGGTGATGGTTGGAGGAGCCGTTGCATCCATAAAACAGCAGAATGCCGGTTTGAAGCACTACAGGACAATGATGTTGCAAATGGATTTGAGCCAGCAGTGCTCTTGTTTCCACTTGTTCTGAATCTTCTTGGCCGGTTGCAGGCAAGTTGTAAACAGTGGGGCAAAACGTGCATTGGTAATCACAGCCCGCACAAGCCTGAAAGCATTGCAATAGCTGTGGCATCAGATCCAATACAGGCTTGCATTCTGAGGCATGGTCACAATGCAAGTGAACCGACAGTGAAGCTGGGTGAGGGCTTCCTGCGCAGAGCAGGCAGTGGGTGCTGAACATCATGTGAAACGCAGTGCTATGAATCAACTTGTCAAAATCACGATGCTAGGCATTGGAGCAAGTTGTCACAGGCCGGATGCTTCCACCAGTGTCTGAGTTTGATGCGTATCAGCTCCGTGTCAATGGTCCAGGGCACACAGACAGGCACTTCCGTGCGCAAATGCAGTATTGGGATTTGCCTATAGGCCGGGCATATGTGCGACAAGCTGCGTGATGTCACTGCAGGATTGCAAATGCAACCGTAACGACTCAAGCAGTATTTCACTAGGAGCTGGGTGTTGGGCATGGCACGCAGCCACTGGTCAGCGTGGACCGTCTGCAAGTGCAGAGCCAAATCTCCTTGCCGTGTGTGTCCAAGATTACACAACTGGCAAGTCAGTGTGAGCCGCATTCTGGGAACAGATTGCTGAGCAAAACTTGCAGAATCTCCACTTTGGATCAGCTCCAGCCAATTGGGGGCAACAGGTTGCACAAACGGTGGCCTGTGTGGGTCGAACATGTGGCACTTCCCCTGTGTGATGTGCTGCCGCACTGCAGGTTTATCCTGGAATTACTGGACTGGATCACCGCCCATCATGTCTCTCTCAGGTCTCCGGTCCTCATATGCCAGCCGATGAACAGCAAATAGATGACGATGAAGGGCACTGTCATCCTCAAATTCTTCTTGACAGATCTCACAGGTGAGCACCATCTGCTGGTGTCTGGCATCGCCTGGGTCGTAGAGACTCACAAGAAGAAGCGCTGACTGGGTGAGCACTGGACACATATGTGTCGTCTTGAACTCTCGTTGGCAAAATCTACATGGAGACAAACTAGCTTGAGCCTTGGTGATCTGGGCTGCTTTGGAAAAAAACATGGTCCACCAGCGAGGCATGGCATGTGCGCATATGCGCATTCAGTTCCTGCGGTCGTTGGTGATAAACATTGTAGAGGATGCAATGGTGACGCATGTCTCGGCACGCAGATTGTAACTCCTGCAGTTCCTGCCAAGCCTTATGGCGTATCACCTCTAACGGCCTATGTCCATAGGGTGAGCTCGGGTCAATCGTGGCTCCTAGGCATTGGTGTGCTCTGGGGCAGGAGTCCTTCTCGAAGACTCTCCATGGGCCGGAGGCTGAACCTGGCAACAGGGGCGTTCAAACTGAATTTGAAATCTGCGCCAAGTAGTGAAGGTGGTCATGCAATGATCGCACTGCGGTAATCCATTGACGGCGTGTGAGGCAGCATTGCTCAATGTGGTTCCAAGGATGGGCTTCCCATGACAATGAATACAATGCCTTCTCAAGTTTGGAAGTGAGTCACACCGAAAAGGGCAGTCTGGGCATGTGAACACCACCACTTTGGTGCCAAGTTCATGTTATAACTGGTTATAACTAAAGTTATACAAGAAGTTATGAAAAGTTATGAAGTGAAGAAAATATCAACAATTTTAGCACATTTTTATAACTTAGAAAAATTGAAAAAAACACTTGTTTTTAGTGTATCGAAAACAATAGTTTTTCTAATTATAGCGGTTGAGCCGCTTCGAAGTTGTTTTTTTAGAAAAAATCGCGGTTTTCATCGCTTCCATGGCTGAGGGAATGTGCAACTGGTTTTTAAACAGAACAGGCCACTGTGGGAGCGCGCCTTTTTAGGTGCTTTATGCACCTGCAATGGGTTAGTTTGCTCTTTGCAATCTCACCTTTGCAGTTTCTTTTCTTTTTACAAAGACAAAAAAAAACAAGAAACAAAAAAAAGACCCAACAAACTGCATCTGACCCCCTCCCCTTGGGGTGTGCAATCTTGTTTTTT